GTCCTCGCAGAAAGAAGTGTTGGAGCATATCCTGGGTATTGCGGAGCATGTCAAGTTGAGGGAACAGTCGGTCAGGGCGGGGGTGGTGAGGGATAAGGTGAAGGAAAAGTTGGAGGGGCATGAGAGTGGGAGGCAGCCTTTGAGGGATTTGCAAGAGTGGGTCTTTTTCTTTCTTTTTTTTCCTCTTTCTTCCATTTCTGCTCTTCTCTTTTCCTTGGAGGAAAAGGAAGATGGGGAAATGGAAAGGGAAATGGAAATGGAAATGGATTAAGCAGCTGATGTCACGGTAGGACGTGGGACAATGCAGTACACAAAGCGAACGGTAAAGTCAAAGTCATGCAAGACCGCCAGAAACACACTTTTGCAAATCTTCGAGAGACGAAACAAGCCCTCGACCAACTCGTAAATCCTCCCTCCCCCTCCCACCCGCCCCCTCTTGAACAATAAACAATAGCTGATACGGAAATACTTGTAGGGCACGCGCAGAGAAGACATCGCCGACCAAATCAACAAGCTCAAAAAGAAAATCGAGAGAGAACGTCTCGAAAAAGAGACTTGCAAGACGAATATCGGGAAGTGTGAGGCGATACTGGCGGAGCCGAGGGAGGATCATGAGGTTGAATTGAGGAAGGCCAAAGAGGAAAGGGTGAGTTGTCCCTATTGGCATACGGACATAGATCCGTGCTAATGGGGAATGGTAGCTTGAAGTGTCTCAGAGGTATAGGGAGAAAGAGAGGGATGAGCAAGAGCTTGGTAGGCAGTATGAGCGGGAGAGTCATGAGTTGAAGGATATTGATCAGGCTATCAATCGACTTCATCACGAGTACGTCCCTCCTCTCCTTCCTTTTCTCCCCACCTCCTCGCGGAGAACTGACGACGGGTACAGGAAGAGCACATTCGAAAGCGTCGAAAGACGCAAAGAAGATTCTGCCCGACAAGCCAGCCCTTCCATCTCTTTCCTCCTCGACTACCTCAAAGATAACCCGGATAGCTTTGAGGGCAAGGTGCACAAGCCGCTTATGATCTCTGTCAATGTGCCGAATAGGCAGTATGCTTGGCAGGTTGAGGCTTGTACGAATTGGCCCCAACGTCAGGTACGTATCGTCTCCTTCTCCTTCTTCTCCCCAATGAAAGGAAATTATGAGGGTAATGCTGACGAAATGGTGGTAGACGTTTATCTGCGAAAAGAAGGCCGACTACGACCACCTCATCGCCCTCAACGGCAGGCCTCTCCCGCAGAAATACATCAAGAACACTGGTCGATGGAACCCGCACCGGAACAGCGGTCCGCCCAAAGTACAGCTCTACTTGGCGTTGCAGGAGGTTACGACGGATACTGTTAATCCGAGCAGGCCTTGTACTGTTGAAAGGGTAAGTTCACAATGAAGCATGGAAAGGGAAAAGAGTGGTGAGATGATTGACATTTTTTGTGTAGTTGAATGAGTTTGGGTTTGATGGGTTCGCTATCGACTTTGTGGATGCCGACCCTGGTGTTATTGCATACCTCCAGAGCGTCTGCAAGATGCACATCACTGTAAGCTTCTTTTTGAGTACTGGAGTTACAAGTACTGACCCTTTACAGGCTGTCACTCAGAAACCTTCTGAAAGAGTGAGGACCGATGAACTGCCCAGTTTGGGTTTCAAACAATGGGGTACTGCAAAAGATTGGACCCGATCCAACCAGTCGACGTATGGTAGAAAGGCGTACAGTCAGATCATCACTGCCAAGACGGAATCTCGAAGTTTCAACATCGTCAGTACGTACCCAGCCTCTCCCTCTCCTATTTTTTTTTTCTTGGGCTGACAGGTTGGGGGTTAGTTGACACGGAGGCTGTGGCGAAAAAGGTGGATGAGATTGCGAAACTGAGGAGGAAGAAGGAAGAGGCGGAACAGCCTCATGGAGCGTTGAGGGACAAGATCTCTGTTGTCATTGGTCAGAAGAAGGAGATCCATGCTGAGGGTGTGAGTACAGTCTTGCGCTTACTGTTCTATGTGCTTACGCGTGTATTGTAGCATGCGATTGAGGAAAAGATCAAGGCTCTCATGTATAGCTCGAAGCGATATACCAAAGCAGCGCATGATATCCGTAAGTTTTCCCCCTGTTCATGTCGAGCCGAGTTCTGATGCTTTCGTGCAGAACTCTTCAAAGAAAAGCTCGTTAGGCTCGAGGGACTTCCTTCCTACGAAGCCGAGCGCACCAAGTTGAATGATATGAGGATCAAGAATGCCAGAGACCGACTTCGTCCCCTCGCAGCGTCCACCGTACGCCCTTCTGCCGTCTTGAGAGATTGTGCTGATTTGAATGTAGAACTACTGCGACACTGTGATGGACAACTGTGCCGACTTGATTGCCGCCACTTTCCGCCAAGTTCAAGCGACTACCAACAAGAAGATGATTGATGACAAGGTCAAGTCTGGGAGTGCTCGGGGCATGGTGCTGCGTGATCGATATGAGACTGGTGAGTACATCATAGCCCTCAGATGACACAAGCTGACGTCTGGTGTTAAGCTTCCAAGGCGTTCAACCGTGCCAAGGCGTTGACGAACAACAAGTGGAATGAGATCAAGGCCAGGCTCAAGCCTACGGACAGGACCGTGAGAGAGGAAGTGACCAAACGTGCCAAGGTCCGTCATCATTTTCTAGTTTCTGAGGCCGATGCTGACGTTCATCTAGGACCCCACCACCCTCCCCTCCGTCGACCAAGTCCTGAACGACCTCAACACCGTCAAGAACCAGCTCGAAATGTCCGTCAACATCCCCACCGCCGTCATCAAGCAATGGGAAAGGCGTACAAAGGAGCTCGAGGCGGCGCAGAAGATTGTGGATGAGGAAGAAGAGGAGCTTGCTGAATTGAAGGAGGATATTACGGATACTTTGGTAAGCACCACCCTACGAGAAGAGTTGAACGAGAAACTGATCTTGTCATAGGCCAAATTCAACCCCGCTCTCAACACCCTCGTCACAGCGGTCAGCAACAAGTTCTCCGAGGCCTTTGAGCGAGTCAAGTGCAGGGGTGAAGTTGGGGTGGATAGGTCGGCAGGGTCAGACTATGGGAAATGGGGTATCAAGATTATGGTGGCCTACCGAGACTCGGATGATTTGGCGGTGTTGAGTGGCAGTCACCAGTCTGGAGGTGTAAGTCTTTTCTTATATTGTCTATCTGTATACTGACGTGGGTGTAGGAACGTTCACTGGCGACGGTGACGTATCTCATGAGTTTGTCGGAGATGTCGCGTACGCCATTCTCGCTCGTCGATGAGATTAACCAGGTAAGCTTTCTTTCTCGAGATGATCAAGGCCGCGTACTGACGGGTCTTTTCAAGGGTATGGACCAGCGCGCCGAGCGAGCCGTTCACAACCAGCTTGTCGATGTCACTTGTGGTTCTGAATCCGGGCAGTATGTCAATATCTCTCCATCCACTGCCATCTCATACTGACGTTTGTCTCTAGATACTTCCTGATCACTCCCAAACTCCTCAACGGTCTCGAATATCACCCCAAGATGAAGGTGTTGATCATCAACAACGGTATACATTGTGCGTTTTCGTTCTCACATCCCAGCATTCGACGAAGGGGCTTTGTGCTGACCAGACGCCTCTTTAGTGCCGGACCCTTACGACCTGACACAACGCTACGGCGCCCTCAAGGCTTCTCTCAACAAGTATCGATCTACCCACGGTATCACCGCTTAGAGTATCAAAAGATCACGAGATGTTTACACGAGGTCATGCGTGGAATTTGAAGATATCTGCAATACAGTACGAGTACTGTGTGCTTGCGTAGAAAGTGGTTTTTGTTTGTATAATTTCTGGTTCTGGGCTGATCAGATAGCTTTGTGAATCTCTCTTGATGAAGAACTACAAGCTGTGCATGTCTCTTTGAAGGCTGATTATGATCGTTCAGCGACTCGGGAGCGCTTGCTGGGAGGAAGAGTACGAGCTGGGGTAGAGAGGCCGGGTTCTTCACCGTCCTAGTGCCGACTCGTCCCTGTTTCGTTTCTTACCCTGACTGAGCTCCCCTCTACCATCGGCGTACCAAACGTCTTGGTTATGAAGCTCAACATGGAGATGCTCTGTCCCGAACCGGTTACAAGAAATGACTCCCCTTAGGAACTGGACCCTTACCAGTTCTGATTCTTCCCCGTTAGCCTACCTCCTGAAAGCACAACAACAAGCAACCAGCGACAGATTTTCTCCAGACCAAGTCAACTACACCAAAGAGGAGGATCAAGACACCGGCCGGTGGGCGCAGGTGCTAGTAGGGGAAGAGGAAGACGGCTGGTCGTTTGAACACCTCTGCACAAGCGCCACGTTCCAACAAGAAAGCGAAGCCTGCCGCTTCCTCTGCCACCACTATTCTCGTCCTCCGTTTTGTACCGCTGGCCTTTCTATGTTCTTACTACCTTTTGACCCCTCTATCCCGGTCCCTCCCTCCCGATCAGCACTCTCTCTCCGCCCCTCCCTCCCCCGCCGCTTCGAGCTTGGCTCAGATCTGTCAACTCCCCACAGCGCGCTTCATCTGGGACCAAGACAAGTCGTATCCCGTACCCGAAATCTCAGAGACTGGGCTTTGCAATGCTCTATAGACTTTAGTTGTAGGGCAGAATCCGCGAAAGTGAGCGCCGTGAACATCTTGCGGGGTACAACATGCAATGCGCTTCTTAAATATCACTATCAAAACCCCCCAAAAATTCTGTGGGACTGCAAGGGAGGGAGAATGGGGGGGGGGGGATGGGGGAGACTTGGAATTAGTCACTCGATTGCTGCTGCTGATGTTGGCTGATAGTCGAATAGAGTGAGGTTGGGGATACCCTCAAAATCGTCTACTACGACGCGAGGTTCGACCAATCCCCATTTACCGGGGGCTCCAAGCCGAACACAAGGACCGGACCTGATACTGAAGCATGTGAGTGGTACTTTACCGATTCATACTTTGTCTGACGTCTGATGTCTCTCGAAATGCAGGTTTCCATGGCTGATTACTTTGGCGACAGTTTCGCGCCCCGGCCTCAGGCGCGCTGAAGAGGTTCGGGCCTTCTGGGCTCTGGTCAAGCAGCGCCAGGAGAAGGAAAGAATAGAGAAGGAAAGAATACTTCAAGAATGATAGTGCGGGAAGTGTTACATCTGCCATTGGATTGACCGGGTATGCATTGAATTCAAAGTAAAAAGTTGCCTGTTTCTTGCTGCGAATATCGCGGCGACTCGTCCAAATTGTCCGTCGCTCGTCGGCCGTGAAGTGAGACAAAGGAATAGAAAGGTATCTTTGCTGTAGCCCTTTCATAGCAACCCACTCATTCCTGTTGCATGCTACCGATACAGCGACAACGCTAGAAGCCTCTTCACCGGACGCCCGAGCTCTATTTGATGCCGTCGATGCACGCGACGCGACTATTACGTACTCGCGTATTTGTGCTCGACCTCTGATCATTTGGTGATGGATCATTCGTCCTCTTGTCTCTCTTTCCCTTCTTGGATATACCCCAGCGGACGTGTAGAGACGGCGAAGAAAGAGGAGATAGAGCACCCGCCCCTCCCACCCCATCGCCGCACAGACCACCCTCGGCCACCTCTTCCACGACACAACGACCATGGCCACCCTCTCCAACTACCAACTGGGGGACCTCCTCGGACGGGGTGCTTCCGGCAATGTCTACCGCGCCCTCAACTTTCTCACAGGCGAGACTGTCGCCATCAAATCCATCTCCCTCCTCTCCCTCACTCCGTCCCTCCTCCCCGACATCATGTCCGAGATCGACCTGCTCAAGAACCTGAACCACCCGAACATCGTCAAATACAAGGGCTTCGCGAGGGACAAGGAGAATCTGTTTATTGTGCTCGAGTACTGCGAGAACGGGTCACTACAGACTATCCTCAAGAAATTCGGCAAGTTTCCTGAATCGCTTGTCGCCGTCTACATCAGCCAAGTCCTCCAGGGGCTCATATATCTCCACGAGCAGGGTGTCATCCACCGAGACATCAAAGGCGCCAACATCCTCACCAACAAAGACGGCTCCGTCAAGCTCGCCGACTTTGGCGTCTCCTCCCGCGCCACTGCTCCCCTAGCAGACTCGGGCGATGCGGAGGTGGTGGGGAGCCCGTATTGGATGGCGCCGGAGGTGATAGAACAGAGCGGGGCGAGTACGGCGAGTGATATTTGGAGTGTGGGGTGTGTGGTGGTGGAGTTGATGGAGGGGAAGCCGCCGTATGGGGATTTGGCGCCGATGCAGGCGTTGTGGAGGATTGTGCAGGATGAGGGGATGAGGGTGCCGGAGGGTGCTAGTCCGGTGAGTAGTCTTGATCGTGAGAGGGCATGGTGCTGATAAACGTCAGATTGTGAAGGACTTTCTCTATCACTGCTTCCAGAAAGACCCCAACCTTCGAGTCTCCGCCAAAAAGCTCCTCCGTCACCCGTGGATGTTGTCTGTCAAGAAATCTGCCGAATCCTCCCCTTCCTCGCCACTATCTCTCAAGAACGAACCAGAGCTGAAGGAGAAGGCAAAGCCGAATGAAGAGGAGACGGGGAAGAATAGCAAGGACGACGTGCTAAAGGTGCCGGAGCGAGAGAAGAACAGCGGCAGTGGGACTGTCCGAGCCAAGAAGCCCATGACAGTATACGACCAGGCCGTCCAGCGTGTCCAAGAATGGAACGAAGCTCTAAACGGTAAACCGCTTCTCCCTCTCCACTACAAGTACATAGCTGACATCTCACAGCCGTCCCCAAAGCAGGCTCAACCCGCCTCCCCCTCCCCGTCCCCCGAAAACAATCCATCTCCTCTCGCCCCCAACGCCAACGAGGCGAATCCAACCCCCCTCTCGCCCTATTCACACTCCCCTCCATCCCGCAGACGTCGCCAGCGTCGGCACATCCGTCGAGCCATCCGTCGGGGTATGTACACGGTTTGGCACATGGGATCACGTCCCCGGCGCATGGGCCGGGACAAGGGGGCGGGCCGGGATTATTGACGAAGAATTTCATGGTTAGTGATGTGTTGAATAGGGCGAAAGAGGAGGAGGGTGGGGAGAAGTGGGATGATGATTTTGCGGAGGATATTACGCTTTCAAAATTGCCCAGTGAGTCGAACATTTACTTCTGGAAGAGTTTGGCTGATAGGAGGGTGGTAGGTCGGAAGGACGAGCCGCAGACTGCAGATGAGATCAACCAAAAGACGGTCCGTCCTCTACGGGAGAGTTTACCGTTGAAGGAGGCGCCGAAGGCACTTGAACCTTTGCTCGAGAAACCTCTCACTTCTGAACCTTCTAGCGGTAAACTCGTCTCGAGCGATGATGATTATTCGGATATGGCGTTTGGTGATAATGAGAAGGCTCTCGAGACGAAATTTGCCCAGCTCAAAGTACGTCCATTGTCTTTGAAAAGACGCGTAAAGCTAAAAATTATTGTAGCTTAAAGCAAAGACGAGACGAGGGATCATGCACCCAGACGATATCCACAAAATCCCCCTCTCGCCCATCTCCAAAAAAACCCCCACCAAACCTCCCGTCCGCTCCGTCTCAAACCCCACCCCTCCTTCCACCCTCCCCGTCCCACCTTCCCCGCGTCCCGGGATTCCGGGCAGGTCGTCTCCTTCTTCGAGACAGAATTCGCTGAGGGGTAAAGCGAAGGTGGGAGAAGAGGTGGAGGAGCAGATGAAAAAGTATACGGAGAATGAAGAGGAAGAGTGGGAAGATGTCTTTGTTGGCAACGACTCCCGCCTCTCTCACCATTCCAAAACGCTCCCCCGCTCTCTGCACCTCACAGCCCCAACATCCTCCACCCTCTCGCTCTCCACAACCACCCCCTCAACTCCAGGTTTCCCACAGTCGGGGGCGTATGAAGAAGAAGATTCGGAGCAAGACCCGTTTGCAGAGATTGATGATGATTTCGAGAATGTGGGGGAAGATGATATGGAGGCGAATGTGGTGAGAGATAAGAGGGCGACGTTGATGGCGGCGGTGGGGAGGTTGATTGATGGGCTGGACCCGCACAAGTCGGCGTTTGAGCTGAAGGGCGTTTGTGATGAATTGGTGAGTATATTGGGGAGTTGAGGGAAGAAGTGCTGATGAGGTGAAGCTTGATTTGATGGAAAATACGACACCGGAGATGGGGTTGGAGAGTCATTTCGTGGCGCATCATGGGATGATGGCGGTACTGGAAGTTTTGGAGTCGAGATTGAGCAGGGAGGTCGCGGTCAGGCTTTTGAGGCTTGTCAATCTGGTGCGTTCTTTTCTGTAATAGTCTCTGAGGGACGCTGACGAGGGGTAGATCGTTGGGAGCGATGTAGAGATGCTCGAAAGTTTTTGTCTGATTGGTGGTATTCCCGTCATCATTGTACGTCTTTGACATCAAGCTGAGCGCGGCTGACAGCCGCACAGCCATACACCTCCAAAAAACACTCTCTCGAAATCCGGCTCGAAGCCTCCACATTCATCCAACACCTCACCGCCTCTCCCCTCACCCTCCAGATGTTCATCTCTTGCCGCGGCCTTCGCATCCTAGTCGAGCTCCTGGACGAAGACTACGTGGCCAACTCGAGTCTCGTGGGGAGCGCGTTGGAGGGTATCAAAGAGGTCTTTGAGCTGCAGAGTCCGACGCCGAGGAATGACTTTGTGAGGATGTTTGTGAGGGAGGGGGTCATTGATCCGTTGTCTACGGCGTTGCTGGCGATTTTGAAGGATTTGAAGGGGTCGTATGTGGAAGATGAGAAGGAGAAGGAGAAGGATGCGGAGGGGATGGCGGTTTACGAGCTGGCGAATAGGGCGGTTGGGGTGTTGTTGCTTTTCTGTCAGGTGGCGCAGGCGGATGGGAGGGTGCAGGAAGCGTTTGCCGCGAGGACTATCATGATTCGTGGGTCCTCAAATCTGTCCTTGTGCGCTGCTGACTGTGGTGACAGGGTTGTTGAAGGCGTGCGGACTTTTACCTCGCAAGCTGTTGATTACCGCTATCAAAGCCATTAAACATCTTTCAACGTCTCCTCAGTTGATCGAAGTCTTGCAAAACTCTAACGCTATGGACATTCTTGTCGAGCTTCTTGGCAAGAGCATCAAGGGATCGCATAGCAATGTACGTCACGCTGCCTCACCTTTGGTCGAAGCTCACACGGTTCACAGGAGATCTGCTCGCACCTTTTCCAAACCATCTACTCCATGACCCGCCTCTCCAAATCCCGCCAAGAAGAAGCCGCCTCGAGCGGTATCATCCCTCTCCTGAAACGCGTCATCCAGAACAAGAGCCCGCTCAAGCAATTCGCCCTGCCGATCTTGTGCGATTTGGCGAATGCTGGCAAGGGGAGTAGGCGGTTGCTGTGGCAGAATGACGGTCTGAGATGTATGTGCACGAATTTAGGAATGGCGGTGCTGACTTTGGTGTAGTGTATTTGGACTTGTTGCAAGATCCGTATTGGCGTGTCAGTGCCCTGGACTCTATTCTCTCATGGTGCGTTGGCTCTCGTCCCTCTGCTTTCCTAGCTAATGTTAACACAGGATGCAAGACGAGACAGCCAGGGTGGAAGACGTCCTGCTCGAACAAGACTCTTGCGACTCTCTCGCCATGTGCTTTGTCCAAGCCTCCGGCGTCTCTTTCGAAGGCATCCTCGATCCGTATGTCCTCCACTCTACGAATGAGAACAAAACTTACGCCGCGACAGTTTCCTCAAAATCCTCCGTCTATCCACATCCCTCACATCCTCCCTCTCCCACCCACCATTCTTCTCCCGCCTCTCCGACTCTCTCGAGCGCTCTTCCAAAGCGGTCACCAAACTCAACCTCCTCCGTCTCACCAAAGCCATCTGCGAATCTCACCCCGACCGGCAAACCCTCGTCGAACGCTTCAGCCTCGCGGACATTGTGGAGAGGTTGAGTAGGCAGGATGGGGCGGTGTTGGTGAGAGAGTTGGCGAAGGAGGTGTTGCCGGGGTTGTTGTTTGGGAGTGATGTGCCTGATTTGGGGCGGGCGGTTGTGAGGGAGGAGTTGGATGCGCGGGACGGTAGTTTTAGGAGTTCGAGGGAAAAGAGCGATGGGAGGAGGGAGACGTCGTCGCAACTGCGACGGGCGTTATCTGAGAATGTCGTTAGCGATATTCTCCACCCCCACCCTCGTCCCGAGCGGCCTGTGCCTGCTTTGCCGAGTACGATCTCCAGAGCAACGGGGAGTGGGAGCACGAGGCATGGGGCGTCGTCGAGTATCTCGACGTTTTCGAGCTCTTCTTCCGGCTCATCGAGAGGGGCGCATAGGTTGTCCCTACGCCCCGTATCGCATACCAACAACGCCTCCCTCTCTTCCTCCCCCTCCACCTCCCTCTCAAGTCGAGGCCGCATCTCACCCCTCCCCCCACTAACCTCTGCTCGACCATACCGCCAACCCTCTTCTTCCTTCCCACAGCCAATGCTAGTGCCACTAGCAGACAAAGACGCCGAAAAAGGGGCAGCAGAAAAGCCGAAACATAAGAGACGTATATCGAGGAGTCAGTTGAAAGATATGCAATGGCAGACGGATGAGAATGGGAATGTGAGGAAGGATATGGGGCGGGTGGGGAGTCGGTTGTCGGGGTTTACGATTGAATGAAAAGACGACGACCATTGGAATGAGAGTAGATGTTTATAGAGTCTTTTGTACGCTTGTCAACTTGTCTATAATGCAATTTTATGACGAACAGCCACTTTTGCATGATAAACGTTTATGCACACTTCTCTTACGTCCGACCTAGAGGCCTAAGGAGCCAATCGCTTGGGGTCCCTGGGGAACAAGCTCGCCCTCCTAATGTTACCCAACTTCAAGAAGAGCATGACGACTCGCTCCAACCCAATACCACCACCCGCATGGGGCGGCGCCCCAAGCCTGAACGCATCAAGGTAGCTACCCATCGTAGCCGGGTCAATCCCCACCTCCTTCATCCTCTCCGCCAACACCTCCGCATCATGCACCCGCTGAGCACCCGAGAGGATCTCTTCACCGCGCATGAAAAAGTCGTACGAGTTGGACAAGGTCGGGTCGGCGGGGTCGGGCATGGTGTAGAAGGGCCGGATGGAGAGGGGGAATTTGTCGAGGATGAAATAGTCGGTGTGGTATTTTTCGCGGATGATGCTGCCGAGGAGCTTTTCGTTCTCAGTCCTACAATCATTGTTTAGCTGTGTTACAAAAAAGAAGGGGAGGGGGGGAAGGGGACGTACGACATGTCGTCCATCTCGCCGATAGGCGTACCGTCCGAGTTGGTCGCGCCCGCCTCCTTCAACAATTTCATGCCTTCCTTGAAAGGCAGCCTCAAAGTCTCATCCAAGAACATAAAGTCTTCGTGCGGGTGCTGCTTCTTGACGACCTCGATCTCGTGCTTGTACTCGGTCTGCAAGCCCTTGAAGATATGTTTGAGCATATTGTCGAGCACGTCGACGGCTTCGTGGTAATGCTCTTCAATAGCCATCTCGAGATCCAACCCCATAAACTCGGTCATGTGCCTATGCGTATTCGAGTCTTCGGCCCTGAACACTGGCCCGATCTCAAAGACCCTCTCGAGGTCGCCGGCGATAGCCATCTGCTTGGCAAGCTGGGGCGACTGGGCGAGGAAGGCGCCGCCGTTAAAGTACTGGACTTTAAAGACGGATGCGCCGGATTCGGTGGCGGCGCCTTGGAGCTTGGGGGTGTGGATCTCGATAAAGTTTTGGGAGGTGAGGTAGGAGCGGAAGAAGTGGCCGACGGCAGATTGGATGCGGAAGATGGCTTGGTTGGTGGGTGTCTTTGGTCAAAAGTTAGTGGGGGTGAAGAGGGGAGGAAGGGGAGGGGACGTACGCGAAGGTCGAGCGTTCGGTTGTCGAGACGGGTGGGCAGGGCGACACGGGAGAATTGGACGTCTTCAGTCTCCATACGCGCAAAGTCCGACTCGGGTCGGGAAGCGTCGTCGATAGAGAAGGGCAGGTCGCCGACTTCGACAGAAGTAAAGATCTGTCCCACGTCAGCCCAAATGCGAAGAAAAGAGGGGAGAGAAAGACGCACCTTGTGAATCTTGACTTCATAGTTGTTGACGGTACAGCTCTTCACATCGGCCTTGGCCACAATACCCTCAACGAGCACGAGCGACTCGGAGGGGATGAGGGTGGCATACTTGACCATCTGGCGGGAGACCTGGTTGGGGTCGTCGTCTTTGGAGACGGCGACGAGGCCCTGGAGGGTGTGGGTCTGCTGGCGGAGGGTGACGAATGCGAGCTTGGCGGACTGGGAGCGGGAGTTGTGGAGGCGGGCGCGGAAGAGGACGCGTTGGTTGACGAGCTCGTCGGTGAGCTCTTGGAACTTGAGGCGTGTCTGGCCGTCCCTGCTCTGGCTCTGGTGAAGGGGCAGCTTGCCATAGTTCTGCCTTGCATGGTCCTCTGCCTCCTTGGCCTCCCTCGCCTTCTTCTCCTCCTCCGCCCTGAGCCTCACTGCCTCGGCCTTCTTGGCCTTCTCTGCCTCCTTTGCGCGCTTTTTCAGCTCGGATTTCGAGGGGCCGGCGGGGGCGTCGGTGCCCTCAGCAGCGGGAGCAGCGGCGGCGGCGCCGGCGGGGGTGGCGGCTGTCTGGGTGGTGCCGGCGGGGGGGATCTGTGCGTCGTCGGTGGCGGGGGCGGACATGGTCTTTGAGAAATAAAAGAAAGAATCGAGTAGAAGATAGAGAAGACCCCCGAAGGCTGCCGAGTAATTCCACGTCACTGTGTAATTACACCTAATCCAATCTAATTACCCGGCCTTCCGTCGAGTCGTTTAGAAAACTCACCGCGCATTTCTATCTCTCTCCATCTTTTACATCTATACAACCACAATGGCCGCCACTGCCCCCCAGTCCGCCGGTACTTCCAACGAGACCACCCCCCGCCAGCCTCTCTGGCTCCGATGCGAGAAGAAGCCCTTCGAGCACCGCTCCGCCCTCACCCCCACCACCGCCAAGAAGCTCATCGAGAACAACTTTGATATCTTTGTCGAGCGCGACCCTCAGAGGATCTTTGATGACCAAGAGTTTGAAGAGTAGGCTTTTTTTTTCGTGGGTGATTGGGTGATTTGGAGAGGTGCTGACTGGTTTTGGGTAGTGTGGGCTGCAAGCTTGTGGCGCACAACACTTGGCCTAGTGCCCCTGTCGATGTCCCTATCATTGGCTTGAAGGAGCTCCCCGAGTCTACGTAAGTCTCCTTTTTTCCCCTTCCTCCCCCCGCCTTATCTCCCACGCCTTCTCCCACGCCTTCTCCCACGCCTTCTTTCGATCTTCCTTTCACCCCCTTATCTCCCCAACGTGTACTGACAATCACCCCAGCGACCCCCTCCCCCACACCCACATCCAATTCGCCCACTGCTACAAACACCAAGCCGGGTGGAACGACGTCCTCCGCCGATTCGCCCAGGGCAGCGGTACCCTCTACGACCTCGAGTTCCTCGAGGACCCCGTCACGCACAGGCGGGTGGCGGCGTTTGGCTTCCACGCGGGCTTTGCGGGGGCGGCGGCTGGGGCGCTGGCGTTTGCTGCGCAGCAGAAGGAGGGGGGGGAGGGGGTGTTGAGGGGGTTGGAGCCTTATAAGAATGAAGGGGATATGGTGAGGGAGGTGGGGGAGGCGTTGGAGGGGACGAGGGAGGGGAAGAAGGGGGTGAGGGTGTTGGTTATTGGGGCGCTTGGGCGATGTGGGTCTGGGGCGGTGGACCTTTTCAGGAAGGCTGGTGTTGCCGAGTAAGTTCTTCTTCTTCTTCTGCCTTTTCTACTACTTGGCTGATATGATTGCAGGGAAAACATTGTCAAGTGGGATATGGCCGAAACCGCCAAGGGCGGCCCCTTCCAAGAGATCCTCGACGTCGACATTTTCGTCAACTGCATCTACCTCTCGCAGCCCATTCCCAAGTTTATCACGTCTGAATTTATTGCGCAGGCTGGGGAGGGGAGGAGGTTGGGTGTCGTGGTGGACGTCTCTTGCGAGTAAGTCTTGTTCCTCACTTCTAGAGTAGAGAGGATGGGGAGCTGATGAGGATGATTCAGTACGACAAACCCGCACAACCCCATCCCCATCTACTCTATAAACACCACCTTCCCGCAGCCCACTGTCGAAGTCGACACCAAGGGCGTCGGCAAGCGCGCGACCGTCATCTCGATCGACCACCTGCCCACGCTCCTCCCGCGCGAGGCGAGCGAGCAGTTTGCGGGGGATCTGTTGCCTTCTCTTTTAAAGCTCCCGCAGAGGAAGACGGCGGAGGTTTGGACGGGGGCGGAGAGGTTGTTTAGGGAGAAGATGGAGGAGGCTAGGGCGTTTGATGAGGAGCAGGGTATCAAGGCTTGAGCTTGTGCGCGCTTTTTTTCATCATCGTTCCCCATATCCCGTCGGACGAGTATTGTGGAAAGCTGGTATAGAGGTTTTTTCGGAAAATCATGCATAAAAAGTCTGGCTGTTTTTACAACTCCAAAATCCAATTAGCGCACTCGTAAAAGTGCCAGTGCGAGTACGAGTATAGAGCTGCCTTGTAAGTCTTTTATGGAGCAGGGTCCAGGGAGCAGCGCGGGGGGAGGTGAAGGAAGGAGGAAGGTGTTCGTCTATGTACAGTGACCAGTCTAGACTCTAGGCTCTAGGCTCTATTAGGTGAGGGGTAGGAAGGACTTGCGTCGGGCTTCTTGTTGGGAGGTGTAGTGCCAATGGAACCATTCTTCTTTTTGGTCTTTTTGGTCTTTTTGGTCTTGGAGCCCCGAGAGGGAGAGGAGGGGGAGGGCTTTGACGTTTTCGGGCAGTGTACTCGTGGCGCTTGGCCCGTCTTTGTCTCTGTCTTCGGCGGTAGGGGTAGGGGTGTGCGATCCTGATCCTTCGGTTCCTTCGGTTCCTTCGGACATGCTGATATCCCCACCAGCGGCGCGAGAGACGGTATCGACGGCATCGCCAGCTTGCACGCCAGTTTGGGAAAGTGGAGGTGGAAGGGGAAGGGGAAGGGGAAGGGGAAGGGGAAGGGGGATAGAGTGGGAGACGTGCCGGTGTTTGTGCAGAGCTGCTAGGGAGGGGTAGAGGTGTGGTCGGTCTTTTTTACGTCTTTATCATCAGCTTTGATGCCTTCTGCTTTCTGCTTGTTCTGGTGTGTTATCTTTGGGGGAAGGGGAAGGGGAAGAGAGGGAAGTGAGAAGGAGGGGATGGTGTTTGGGCGTTTGGGAGTTTGGGAGGGGGACAGAGGAAAGGTAGAGGGAAGGGGAAGAAGAATAGGAGAGAGGAGGGAGGATGGAGGAGAGGGAAGGGGGGACGTACCATCTAGAAGACAAACGTATATACCCATCCGGCCGGGATCGCTCGTAGAGCCTATTTGGGTGGAGAGTTGGGCTTGGGCTGTGCAGTCTGAGGAGTGGGTGTCAGCTCGTTGTCTTGCCATGTAGATAGGAGAGGGAGGGAGGAAGGGGAGGAAGGGGGGACGTACAGTCTGGATAGACTTGACGGCCGGGGGTTTTAGGGGGGAGGGACCAGGAGGAGGACATGAGGGACGGACGGGGGTAGGAGAGAGAGAGAGGCAAGTCGGCGTTCCGCGCTTTCGGCTTTGCATCGCTGTCTTTGCGGGGGATGTTTACTCGGTTTACTCGGTTCGTAGGGTAGATGCATGAAGAAGAGTACGAACACTCCACCTTCCCCCTGAGGTATGCTCATGAAGGTAAGAAGAGTCAATCTTTCAGGAGGGACAGGTTCGGGATATAGTTTGTGTATCCAGGGATGGATGCTCTGACTGTGTCCCTGCCTCAATGGCTCAATGCGCCACATAGCACTGAAACCCATCTCCGGGAGACGACGAGGCGCTGCGCTGAGGCCTGTGACCCTCCTTTTGATACAAGTACGTTGTCTTTCATCTGCAGCAGACACTCGGCGGTGGGACAGTCGGAACGCCTCTCCCTTGGGCATCTTCGTCTTGGTACCATCCACTCAGACGCTCAGGCGCGAGGGAGGAGTCTAGAGTCTAGGCGGTAAAGAGGGAGGTGAGTCAAAGCTCATAGCTTCCTTTTGGGGCTTTTTTGAGGTGCTGTTTGATTGACTTTTGGGTGTATAGGTGGGAAGCAGGCAGACGGTGATGGCGACGGTGATGGCGACGGCGACGGCGACGGCACTTACGACCTCCTCCGTATTTTCTCTTCTCCGGACCCGTCAGCTTCCTCGCGCTCGACCCCCTCCTCGACCCCGACCCCAGCGCCGGCCGCAGAACGGCTGCTCGGCTCTCTGGCTATCATACGACACGACGAGAACGACAAAGGGCGGATGAAGGAATATGTCGCCGTCTTGGGATTTTTTGAGAGCAGCAAGGATGGGCGGTGGGCGGTGGGCGGTGGATTGTCCATGATTCTCAAGGCGCAAGTGAGTGATCGTTGCATATAATCGATGGTGTTTGGGAGGCTGTAGGAGGTCGACGTGCTTGTGCTGACGCAGCATGTGTAGCTCAAAAACGCCGGCCGGTATTCATGACATGACCCTGTCCACCACGAACAACACTTTGGCAAGATACAGTTAAGGTATGTATGCCCCCCCTCCCCACGGGCTACAGGAAATCCGTGAGTGAGGCTGATATTGAAAAGCCCGAACCTTTGCTGATCAGCCTGACTGTTCCCTCGCATTGGTAGCAAGTCAAGACGCCGACCCAACGCGTTTGCTCTGAACCCTCCTCGTGAACGTAGAGTCATCGACATGCCTCTCTCGCTCAAAGAGTCGAAGAGGGAGTACCGCTGCTCAGCGTTCGCTAGCTCACAGACGGTCTTTTCTGGTGTCACCTTTGCAAGTTTCATCTGTTCTGAAGTACATGTGATACAAAAGGTGGTTGAGTGCGAGGCCGTTTTTTGGGCAAGATGGCGGCTGGTGCGCGGAGGCGAGAGTATGGGCTGATGTTGATGTAGCACCCGAGAAAAACCGAGTGCTGCCTCCCTGTTCGGCCTTCTTCCGACCTTGTCGTTCGTTCCCGTCTTGTGCCCTATTGCTGTAAAGCCTAGGACCCTAGGTGTCTGTGTGTGCGCGTGAGTCCTTTTTTTGTTGTATACAGGATTTTGGGTCATTAAGACGTTGGACCAGCATATTCGCGGTCTTTTTTCTTTTCACTCGTACCTCCGCTACACTGCCACTGCCCACTCCCCCCCTTTACCGTCATGTACGGATACCAACCCAGATATGTCGAAGGAATACAACAGGACAAAGAAGTGAGTGATCGTTATGATTATGAAGGAGCTCGAGTCGGAGCTGATATGATGAAACAGGTTATCTTCTTTGTCTCTCCTCTCCCCAACCATCAGCTCCTCTTCACCATCACCCCCATCGGAGTGATAACGGGAACCAGGACGTTAATAGGTTATGAGCCTCGCTTCTTTGAAGCCGATTCAACAACAACCAGTCCTACATTCAACCCACTATCAACATGTCTGCATAAAGTACGACGAGGGTCAACTCGTCCGCGACACTACTGCAAAGATCCCTCTTCTCATGGGGAACTCCAATTACGTTCAGTGCTCTTCTAGCGTCTCTTCGCTGCCCCTCACGGAGAATGCGTCATTGGGGACTGCCTTCTTTCTCGATCCCCGTTTGCCAGTTTGCCACAGCCAGCACCATCATTCCCCCCCACCTCCCACCTCCCACCTCCCACCTCCCGCTTTGCGCTGGTGTCAATCCTCCATCCGGCATGCCCCATTTTATCGAAACCTGTTCGCCATCCACTGCCGTGCCCACGGAACAGGCAGCTGAGATCTCGGGTGCTACCGAGCGGTCCTATGGGCCACCGCCACCGCCAACGCCTCCCCCCTCCCCCTCCCCCCGCCTCCCGCCTCCCAACAACGACGACCAGCGAACGACTAGAGCACTATGGCACTGTGCACTACTTGCGACTTGTGAGAGACTCTTCGGCGGGTAATCAATGTTGAGTGACTGACGGTCATTGTAGGGCGGCAGCCCTATTGCAATACAAGTACAAGGTGTCGAGCTCTGGAGGGTACGGCGTTCTGTGAGCAGACTGCGAACGAGGACGCTTGCTTCCTGGCCCCTCCGTCCTGGCCCCTCCTTCCTGGCCCCTCCCTCCTGGCCCCTCCCGAGTACTCGCCCCCTCCCCTGATCAACCATGATACCGACAACTTCGCGCAATTCACCTGGAAGTCCTCTACATGAGCAAGTAGGTTTCTGTTATGTTGTACATCCATCTCAGTATGCTTATGCTCGTTGTTGCAGACCTCATATGGAGTGAAACGCAAGTATCACGACTCTCCTCCTCCCCAGCCTAAGCGTTCAAGAAAGACGCCCGACACACACCTGCCGACCCCCCCTAATTCTTCCCCATCGCGACCCTTATCACCTCAGCCCGACAAACCCCTGCTGCCACTGCCTCTCGAGATCCTGAACTCCATCATCGGTCTTGCAGACTCTGGGACTCTTCGAACCATTGCAGGAGTCTCAAAGACGTTCCGATCAGAGTCAAGGCGGGTCCGGAAACGGCAACTCTCCGCCGTCACGGGGGGTGTTAAGGCGACCAACACCTCAAACTCACGGGCTGATCTGCGGTGCCCCATGGATCGACAGTTCGGGGCGGACGAACATATCGAGTTCTCTGTCTACGATGCCGAATGTCGCATTTCGGCCAATCCCTCCGAGGTCATGACTACAGGGAAAAGCGAGTTTGGTGTTATGTCGTCGGTGCTCGGAGAGGGTCGGAGTAAGGCTCCATTCAAGGTGGAAGGACAACTTGGTATTTACAAGGTGTGTTTGCAACCTGCAGTAGCGAAGACGATGTCTTTACTGACTTCGTCATTAGTTGTCTTGGAACGGGAAGTCCTACTGGGCTACTCGGGCCTTGAACCAAGAAGAAGACGACGCCTTTGGTAGCCAGCTTCTACAGCTGGGTTTCCTTGGACGCTTGGGCGCCTTGTTCAAGCTGTTCAGGGAAGAGGTCAAGTCGGAGATAGGTGAGTTATCATCTTTGTACTAAGGTCATCACTAAGCGCTAACCACCATCAATCAGTGATCACCGTCTCGTACTGCTTTGTGATAAGGGAAGTAGGGGGGTGCAGACCACCCCGGTCTCGGCTGGTTCGACCAATCTTTGCTCGGCCCGAGACCTTGTACATGGAACACTGCTCCGAATCCCCCTCTTGGGCAGCGAGAGCAAGGCAACGATCGCCGATTTTAGTCGAACCTGTGTCTATTCTCCCATTTTTCATGGAGTGGTCGATCTCTTCAATGCCTTCAGTCACTGGGTTGCGGATAAAGCCCATTGATGAAGGACCTCCCCCAAGCCCTCTCTCCGTCCGGCAAAGCAAAAGTCGAGTCCGACCCGCTTGTCAGGGCAGCCAAAGTCAAAGAAGAGGAGGTGAGCATTTTTTTCGTCCATCCAGGCTCAGCAGTGTTCTGATCATCGTCGCAAGGCTCGCCGCGTGGCTCTGTCCAAATACGCCACCGTGAAGGAGGCTTTGAGTGTGGCAACTGGAAGCGCAAATAACGACGACGAGCCGCGTGAAGGCGCAAGAATTATGTACACCACGTTCTCTGAGCAGACTGCAAATGACAACCCCTCCCTCCTGGCCCCTCCCTCCTGGCCCCTTCATCCTGGCCCCTTCATCCTGGCCCCTTCATCCTGGCCCTCTCCCTCCTGGCCGTTCCCTCCTGGCCGGAAGCTCGACAGGTACTTACACGAGGTCGTCACCGCCCTCACCAGCACGTCTTTCCACGATCGATGGATTGTGCAGCCGACCTCCGACACCCCCCCCCTCTGAGCGTATCACGAGCTGCAGGTTCCTCTCGGGGCACCTGGACGGAGCTGTCGGTGCCCTTGACGGCACCCACATAGTCGTCAACGTCGATGAGAGGGACCGACCGAGATACCGCAACCGACTCGGGCGGCTCACCATGAACGTGCTCGCAGCGTGTACGTTCGACATGCTGTTTACCCACGTCTTTGTGGGTTATGAGGGTTATGAGGGCAGCGCCAACGACCAGGTAGTGCTGTCTGCGTCACTGGAGAAGGGGTTCGCGATACCGGAGGGAAGGTACTATCTGGCGGACGCGGGGATGGGGCTCACCCCGGGATTCTCCTTCCCCTTCACGGCGTGCGAAGGCGGAGACAAAGACAGCCCTTTTGACCAAAGCAAGGTTCCATTCGTGAGTATATATAAAGGGGTCAATTGACAAGAAGACCAACCTTTTCTGTCTAGCGGCTGAGATCTTGCCTACGGGAAACCAGCGTACTTTTCTGGCACTCGGGAGGGTTGCCATGCTGGTAAGTTCCATTTGTGTGACCGAGACGCGGCTGACTCATGACAGCGGGGCCTGGCAAATACATTCACCCCGACCTTGGCACCCTCATTGTCACCACTTCCAATCCCCACTTAGCCCACAAGGTGACCTCGGCCCCCCTTCATGGGGGGTCCCAAACCCCGCCTGGTCTACTTGCTCAACGAGGAGCTCAACGTCCCTCGCCCCACCACCATCACCATCGAAGACCCGTCCGGCAAAATACAAGAAGCGGCCACCTCTTTTACCAAACGAATTGACAAACACCTGGTTCAAGATTTTGCTGCTCAGGAAACGACTACCGCTGTCGCCGAGGGAGGAAAAACAAAGAAGGGAGTGAGTTTCTGGGACTTTGTGGATTTGAAGCTAAAGGGCGTATATTAAGAGGGCGGATGGAGGGCGATCACAACGTGATGGGGAGGGAGGAGGTGGGGTCGACAGGTGTGCGTCGGGCGACTTTCTTGCACGCTTAGGCTGAGATGTAAATGGGATGGGGGAGAGATGAATGTTGTTGAGGCGTTCGCCCATACATAGGCGGTTCATGTGTTCATATATAGAGACAGCGTATGAAAGATCATCAAGCCCTTGACACCGTGGCAAGCAGCTCCTGCAGAAGAACCGAGTCAGCTATCATGTAGCCCGAGTTTAGATGTCCGTTGACTGACTACAAGGCCCTGAGGGTTAGCACCAACAAGATTGTCGAGCTTCTTGCCGTCCTTGAAAGCAATGAATGTAGGCATAACGCGGATCCCGACATCCGATGCGATCTCCTGTGAGGTGCATCAGCAGACACCCTCTTCTTCGCCACCATGCACATGTTGCGCGACAGAGAACGTTACGCACAGGCTGCTCGTCGACGTCGACGTTGTAGAATTTCACATGAGGGTGTTTGCTTTCGAGCGACTCGAAGATTGGGGAGATAGTTTTGCATGGGCCACACCAAGTAGCCGAGAAGTCGATGAGGACTACGTCCGAGCCGGTGATCTTTCAGGATACGATTGAGTGACGAGTGTGCAGGAAGGGCAGATGATGAGAACGTACAAGGAGCTTGTACTGGTCGTAAGATTCGAATTTGTTCACCATGACGGACTGATTGAGGAGGAAGAAACAAGGCGGCTGTAAGGTATATATGCTTCCTCAGCGACAGGATTGATCACCGGTGTGTGGACGGGACGTCAGGATCTACTCGTACTGTACTCTACGCACTTGGCAGGGGAGAGTGGCGCCGTTCATGTACCGCGGAGATGATATCTGTCTGCGATGTTTGGTGTACAGAGAGTGTTGAAGTGGGGAGAGTACCCGCTCAATCGGGTCAGCATCTTATGGGTGGGCGCCGTAGCAGTTCTATACCTGTATATATCGCATACGCGATTCTTCTTGATCTTGATCATCGTGTCGTGGGTGTCATCGGTTGAGGTGATGTTGGTCATGCTATGGAGGTCTTATGTGGTACATTGATAGGGGGAAGAGACAGTCCCATGGATGTTTGAGCTCACTGTGATGGATCATTCAACATCCAAAAGCAGTCGCGCCGCCCGGCGCTGTCTGGTATGCAAACTCACGTCTTCATTCCGATTGTCGCCGGCTCTTCTTGATCTTGATTCCTCTCGTCTTCGCCGCCCCTCCCGCACCCGATAATCATGTAATCATGTCCACCGACAACGTATCTCACTCCCTTGCACGAATGACCCCAGCCGACGCTGATGGCCAAACATCCAACGACAGCTCCTCCACACTTTCCCATGGACTGAATCAGAAAATACAGGCGTACCATCAAGAAGTCCAGACAGCAATGGACCAGTCTGATAAGGCCACCCGCTTGGACATGAAGCATCTGATCAAGAGTCTCAGATGCACCCACGATGTTGAGCAGAGGGAGCTGGTCATTCGGGGCTTGGAGTCGGGAAAAGCTCTGCCAAGGGAGATTCTTGTTGAGTCTTATCAAAAAGTCTACAACCTGTATATCCGTGAGTTTCTCCATGATGACGCGTCCTGATTCATGACTTAAAGAGGTTGTGTTCGAAAGTATTTGGTGTAAGAACCAGCGACGGGACAGAGGAGGTGAGTTGTAGATACTGTGTAAAGGCCAAAAACATGCATCGGCGTCAAGCATCATTATCTCTTCTGAATGTTCAGGCTCTAAGGATCACACTCTTCCATCGGGGGGCGTGAGCTGGGTGAGTGGCAAAGGCAGGCGGAATGTCATTGGCTTATCATGCGTCAGTCTCGCCCATCTGCCGCGGCGGAAAGCGTCAGATCAAGATGTGCCCCATGTTCGTTTCGCTCATCTGATGCAGTACAGCCATGGATAAGGATTTCGACCCAAGTGATCGGCTCAGTCCCGCATGAAAGCCAAAATAGTGCAGGGGTTATTCATGACAAGAATCATTATACGACGTTGAGATGCAGCAAGGGCGACAACCAAATCTTCTTTCCGCTCTCAAACCCTCCCTCAACACCTTCTTCCCCAGTCTTCCCCAGATCGATCATTTCCACAGCCGCTCTAAACGAATAACTCCCCCCAGCCAAGAATGTCGCGCCGACGACAAAAGTACCGTTTGCGCCGTTTTCGAGCTTGGGGAGTGTCGAGGAGGATAAGCCGTCGAAGAGGACGTTTTTGTGGGGGTGGGAGAGTTGACCGGGTGGAGGAGCTCGGTTGGATGAAGCAGGGGATGTCCAAGAGTAGTCGAGAGGAGAAGACGGAAGGGGTTCGAGATGGATATACGGATGGAAAGGGGATCCTGATGATACGTTAGCAGTGTCGAACTAATCACGAGAGAGTGACTTGCCAGTGCCGTTGACAACTTCTACTTCCAGCTCGACAAAGTCCATCGCCGAAAGCTTGTCTTTTGTACCCCTGACACGTACTCGCACATCTACAGTATCGGAGCGGAGTATCTGAAGAAGGCTTGGTGATAACGAATGATGACGAAGGCTCAGAGATCCATGGCGTAATGACCCAGGCTAGGAAGAGTCAGTATCCAATTGAACGATGCTGCACGATACTCACCTCTGTCCAAGTCGCCTCCAACATTCCCAACAACGCTTCTCGATACCAGAAACGCTCCCTCTCAATCGCGATTCGACCCGACGTCTTCTTCTCCTTCTCAACAATGTACTGCCGGTTTGATAGAGAGGGGATGGGTTGCGATAAGGCTTCCTGATCCAGGAGTCTTCGAGGTAGGGAAAGAATCAAACTGTGTCATGTCAGCGCCCGAAGGGAAACAATTTGGAAATGACGTACCGCTCAGTAGCACCTGGAGGTATCAGCCTCGTACATTTCGCCTCCGCCTTCTCGCCCTTCCTCGCCAACGTTACTTCGAATGGCACTCCATACACATTACTAAAGCTCAGACCGAGCAAGCAATGGTCCGTGTCGTTCTCCGCAGATACGACCTCATACAAAGACGCATCTTTAGAGGATTGCGAAGAGATTTCAGACCCGCCGAGGTAGGTGAGGTCGAGAGAATGACATTCGATAGCGTGGTAGATGGTAAACATGACGGGGAATGAGATTCGTCGAGTGTAGAATGAGTTGGAGACTGGGGCTGAGTCGGCGTCGTTGTTGGGCGATACAGTCTTGTCGCGTGTGTTGACATATCCGTAGTCAATGTTGATGAGACCGTCAGAGCTATCAAGGCGTTAGCCCTGGCGTGAATAGGCAGAGATTACGCTTACCATCCGACCTTCCCTAGACACTTGACAGTCAAAGTCGCCCTCCCTCTCGCAGGGATAAACACCTCCCCAGGCGCTTGCGTATTACTCCAAACAAACACCGGTCTCATCTGTTGATCCCAATCAAGTTCGTACGCTTGCTCGGGCGTCAATTCGCCTTCGGCGATGATCTCTTGAGCTTCGCGGGCGGTAGAGTCGTCCATTGAGAGTTTGACAAAGTCGATGGGGACGGAGGAGGAGTTTTCGAGGACGATTTGTATCTCGGACCTAGCCCAATGTCAGAACACGCTCTCTCAGAGGAATCGTGACTTACCGCTCCCCGTCATAGAGCATCATCATCCCATGTATCAAACTCGTGCTCTTCACCCAAGCCAACGGCAACTCCTCCACCACCGTACACTCCAAATACTTTTCCTGTCCCTCCCCCTCCTTCTCCTTGAAACTCGCTCGATGCCCAATAGACAACCTAGCGCCCATACCCGTCCGCTTGATTTTTTGAGACTCGCGCTTGAGGCGAGAGTGCCGTTTTTGACGGCGTTCTTTGTCTTTGTCGTCGATGACGGGGAGGAATACTTGGGTGGAGGAGCCGTCGGTGAGGCGGACGGAGACGCCTTGGATGCGGAGTAGGCCGGCGGAGGGGGCGATACCGGAGAGGCGGATAGTGTGGACGGAGAGGGCGGGGATGGAGATTGGGATGGAAGAGGTGTTGAAGGGGGCGCCCGAAGTACTGCATGTTTATGAGCTAGAGTAGCAGAAGAAGCCAGCATCACTCACATGATGGAGAGCTCGTTGATATCCAAGTTGAATGCGAAGGGGTTTCGCAAAGTGACAAACACGTCCACCGCCTCGTTGGCGATCAGCGTAATCTACGATCAATCACCATCAGCATTGTCACTCCAAGACTCGAGGAGCAACTCACCTTGCCGCTATTGGAAGCCCTCGTCCTGGGATTGTAAAAGAACGGATCCTTCTTCCCACTTTCCACCTGAATTTCATCTCTCGAATGTTGCATTGGTGTCTTGTCATGCGACAATCTGCTCGTCATCAGTGTCCCACAGCCCCGTCACAAGAAGATAAAAAACTCACCCAGCAATTTCCAGACTCATCACAATCTTCCCCGGCACCCACCACGGCACCACCCCCGTCTCCAGTCCCCTCCTCCTCACAATAGCCAGCGCCGCCGGATACATCTTTGCCAAAATCGCTTGACTCTGCGAATTCAAACTATCCGAAAGATCATTCAACGCCGTCAAGCACAGTTTGACTATCGCAGGATGACTTGGTAGGGATTCCATGACGGCGATGCCTTCCTTGATCATCTCGACTTGCAGTTCAGGCCAGCCGAACCGTCTTTTGAAGTGTTCTTCGTCGTCGGTATCTTGGATGCCCAAGATCGAGCGATGTGGGAGGGCAGAGGAAGGAAAGGAGGGGAGGAGGTTTATACCCATGATACCTGCGGCACGTTCGAACAAAGCGACGATACCGGCGTTCCCTTCTGTCGATTCTTTTCTCCTAACGGCGACAGCTTGTGATTTCACAGGCATGCCCAAGCCCAGCCCCAGGCTCGCTGATTCTTGCGCACCAGAAACCATCGACGTCCTCGGACTCGGCGCGAGGGCTCTCGAGTTCATCTCTTGCCTATTCTCCACCACCACCCCCGCCAACAACTTTACAACCTCCCTCGTCACCCCCGCCTCTTTCCTCTCCAACCCCAACCACCTCGCCAACCACACCGCTTCCTCATTCACCGCCAGTCTCTCCAGCATCGTCATCGCTTTATGATATGGCCCCAGAGCAGTTTCGGCGTGGGCGAATATGGATTGACGGGAGATTTGGGATTGGGAGGAGAGGAGGAGGAGGTCGCGGGCGTGTTTGCGGCGGGAGGTGGAGGTTATGGTTGGTTGTTGGGTTAGGGGAGGAGGAAAGGAGCGGGGGAGGGTGTGGGTGACGAGGTATGAGAGGGCGATGGATCCCCAGCCGCCGGAAGCCCAGATGAGGAGGACAAAGTGGCTTATCTTTAGGGCTAGCCCGGCGTACAAGAGAGATAGTAGGCCTTCTCCGGTACCGACTTCTGAAGGGTCTGTGGGGGTTGATGAAGGGATGCTGAAGGAACCAGATACAGCTTGGGGAGACGGCGAGGCGATTGTGGGTGGATAAGGGATAGGTGCTCGAGCGATGCACGCTAGGGCGGACATGAAATGGGACTGAATCTCGACTGGGATGGGTGACGTTGGGAAAGGTTGCGTCAGATTCTATGGATACGCATCAGTACAGTAGCACGATGAGCTGAAGAAGACTCACAGAACCGTCCCTGCCCTCCCACGCTTCTCCTATACCAGCCACCGCCCTACCTTCCCTCGTGAACCCCTCCCACAAAACATCCCCCACAGCCCTACACCTTTCCGCCCCATCATCATAGCACTGAATCGCATCGCCATACATCCCCGACAAGAGATAAAAGTCTCCCAACAACTTCAGCAGACGCCCCCCGGCGATACCCGTAAGGTCTGCGGACGTGTATTTGAGTACACTCGCGCCGTTTATGGGTGTGGGAGTAGACGAGGGGAGGGAGCCGGATGATGCTGCTGAGGAAGTGCGCGAGAAGGGTGAGGGTACGGCGGAAGATCGTCGGAAGGGGTTGGAAGATGCTGATACTGGCTGGGGAGCTGCAGGTGCGAGGTTCGTCGGGATAGGCGGTAGCGATGGCGCTTGGATGGAAGTGGGTCTTCCACCGGGGGTGACAGCGCGAGTGAGAGAGATGCCCAGGCCTCCAGGTGCACCGTCCATGGATGATTTTGGAGGGACGAGGGTGGGGGTGGATGTGCTTGATCGGGAGGGATAGTCGCCTGGGCCTGAAAAGCCGTTGAGCCCGGTCAGAGGGTTGGAGGCGGTGAGGTTGGGGAGCAGGGTAGATGAGAGGGTCTTCAGCCCGGCTGGCGTTTCAAGAGCGGTGGCCTGGCAATTATCAGCGATGTCCCATGGTGCCGCTGGCTAGACTCACAATGACACCCAGCTCTCCCAAAAGATCTCCAACAACTTCTCCCAAGAGCCTGGTCATCCAGTTCTCCACCCCCTCCAACGGCGCATACTTGACCTCCCCATGATCCTTGCCCGTCGTCCCTCCACTACTCGACTCGCTCGGACTCGCTTGCTTTCTCGGAGATGAGGGCGTTTTTGGTATTTGGTCGGGCACGACAAGAAGGCGTTTGACGATGGGGAATGGCGAGGTGGAGGGGAGGAGGGAGGCGAGGGTGTCTTCGAAGGCTTGTTCGGGAGTGACTGGAGGGAAGGATGGGATAGTGCGTTCTTGGAAAGTCGGGGCTGTAGGCGTAGAATGCCCCATATCGCCGTCTCCCAAGCTATACCCCTCTTCCTCTTCCGCATCAACCGATACACCAAGCACTATGAGAGGGAACCCCGCCATCCTCAACAAGCTCAGAGGATAAGTATGTTTCGCTGGCGGGGAACGAGTATACCCCAGATGGACTTGATGCGAGATAGCAGCTCTAGAAGCTGATATACTCCCCCCACTGAGCTGCGGGAAGAATCGCATCCTCGGATTACTATCCCCTCCAAACTGCCCTCCTACCGCCGGGGAGCCGACTCTAGAGCGCGCCGAGACGAGGGGCCGGGCGAGCTCATCGCCGCGGAGAGTCTGGTGTTTCTGGATGATGGAGAGGTAGGCGTCGAAGAGGGAGGTAGATATAGGGGCGTTGGGGCGGTGGACTGGGATGACGAGGATCTGGAGGCGGGCGAGAGAGAAGGGGTCGGTGAGGGTGGAGAGGGGGGCGGGGGAGGTCATCGTGGGGAGGGGGAGGGGGGGGGAAGAATACAGGTGGAACACTCTGTCCCAGATATGGACCCGAGGCGTAGTTGTGACAAGAAAGATAGAGATGAATAGATTGTGACCAAATTGTGACTGTCATCGCGAACAACGCGACGTGTTTTTGATCCCGTCCATCATTCAACTGTCCCTGCCCGACTAAAGAATAGAAATGCAATGGAGTACATGCTACAGAACCCTACGCCAATCCCGCTACCCCTCCCCCACTCTCCGCACTAAAAACCACTTTCGATATTCTCCCACTGTCCTCCTGCTGCCCTCCCTCCAGCGGCCACCTCGCCTCCTCCTTAATCCTCTGCTCCTCCAACGTCCTTGTCCTCTCCCTCCTCGCCAAGTGCGCCCTGTTCCTCTTCTGAACCACGACCCCGGTATGGTGCAAGATCTCTCCGCGAACTGCCGTGAGCTCTTGGAGCGTTTGGTCGATCTCCCCGAGGTAGGCGGTCGTCTCGGCAGAAGCCAGCGTCGACTCGCCCTCGCTTTCGCTCCCGTTCTCCTTCTCCGCCGCCCTCTCGACGACAGTACGCATAATCTCAAGCTCCTCCTTCAGCCTACTCTCAGCCTCATCAATCATCCCATTCAACACCCCCCAAAAGCCGATCCTATCATTCTTGCCATTCACCGTATCTCTCCCAACCTTCCACGCGGCTTGGAACCACCTAAAGTCGGCTCTTAACGCCGGGGGTGCCGAAAAGGAAGAGGGAGTATCGGATTCGGAGAGGGAGCTGAGCCAGAGAGCTTGTTGGACGTGCGCTTCGCGCAGAGCGACGCGGAGCATCAAGAGCGCTACGTCCCTCGCGCCGGGGGCTTCACGATGGACCCATGGGTAGTGCAGCATCGTTTTGAAGATGTAGCTATAGGGTATATCGGACTGTATCGGCTGGGCGATGGGGGATAGGGAGGAGATTGAGAGGTTGGTGGAGGTGGGGACGATTGAGGAGGGGGTGGGTATTGGTGGGAGGTAGGCGTCGAATGGACGGCGGATGGGGATCTGGGATGACGACGGGGAGGAGGAGGGGGATGGGAAGGGTTCTTCGAGGGGGCGACCGAGCCAGTCGCGGTGGGATTGCTCTTCCTTCTCCTTCGCCACCATCTGACTCAAAGTCGGTCCTTCCTCCTCCTCCTCGACGTCCACCAACACCCTCGCCTCTTCCGCTTTCCTCACCACTTCCCTCTCCCTACTCGGGTACAAAGCTTCATAAACACCGACTAGATCCCAGATCTCGCCCGAACGGCCGACGTGCTCGATGATGGCGAGTTTGACTTGGACAGGCAAGTTTTGGCGGAGACCGACCCAGCCGAGAGGGGTTTTGCGGATGCCGAAACCGCCCTCGAGGACAAGGGCGGAGAGGGTCTCGAACCCGTCGACGATAGTTTCGTCTTTCCTTGCTTCCACAATGTACCGAGCAGAATTGAGCAAGATCAACCCCGTCGCCTCATCCGACTCTACCCCTCTCTCCTTCATCTCCTCAATCAACGTCTTCAAATTCCCAATCGCTTCTTGGATCTCCCCCTGCGCAGAGAGGCGGTAGCAGTGGATAGCGAGCCACTTGTTGATACTCTGCAACGCCAGGTTGTACGCCATATTCCAGTATTTCGGCGGGAGAGGAGAAGGCGAGAGGGCGCGGAGTTTGAGTTCTTGCAAAATCGCGCGACAGCCGGATTTCTCGCCGATGAAGGCGAGCTTGGAGAGGTTGGATGTTAGGAACTTGTATAAGCGGGGGTCGGGGGCGGCACCGGGGGATTGACGGCGGATGAGAATGTCGGACGCCAGTACCCGGACGCGCTGTTCCAAGCTTATCGCAACTTTCTCCATCCTCCTCCTATACGCCCTCAGGACACCCCCTTCCCTAGTATCAGGCGCTTTGGCAAATGTTTTGATAACGCTCTCTCGAGGAAGCACATTGCGCGCAATGAGGTGCAGTTGCTCATTCGGCAAAGACCGGCGATACACGATACTCAGCTCATTATAAAGCACCCAAGCTTCATCCGCCTTCTTGAAACTCCCTTGAGAGGCGTCTTTCGAAGAACACAAAGCGAGGAGTTTGGAGAGGGAGGTTTTTTCGGAGGAGGGGGTGGTATGCCGTATAGGCCTGGGGTGGGCGGTGAAGGTGAGAGTGGAGGAGAGGGAGGGGATGGCGCGGGCGGCTTTGTCGAGGGGGATTGATAGTGGCTCGGAAGCGGGGGGTGGGAGGGTGCTTGAGATTGCTCGACTGCATGACTTTAGCGTGGGAAGGAGGGAGGAAGGGGTGGGCTTACCGAGTCATCCTCGGCACAGAGGCTGCTCTGAAAGGGGCATTTCTGAGTGGGGAGTATGGTATCCGCATGGCTGGATATCCAGGGGTGATGGGGGACAAGAGGGGTAGGCTGTTGGGTGCCCTTTTGGTGTATATTTCGTGGAATGATAGAGAAAAGTCGTCTTTTCGGCCGCCCAGGTCTTCTTGACGTTGAGCTCGAATACACTTACGTAAACAGACTTATTGGCCTCCACTTGTGAGATTTTTGTTGATTTTGCCATGACAGCTTTGGGATTTCTGAACGACAACGACAAATTTGCAAAGCAACATGGGAAACAGACGACTTACGAAGAAGGCTATCAAGGGCAAGGAGGGGCTGCACCCTGGGTCCAGAAAAGGTATGGTTTGTGTGTATAGGGAGGGGAGTAGCAAGGCTGACTTGGTGATAGCTCATCAGCTCACGAGGGTCAACTTGCGTCTCGACAAGCTCCAATCTCAGGGCAAGATCAGGAAAGACCTCAATACTTCCAAGAGTGAGTACTTTCCCTCCCAATACGCGGGAAGCTCGAGCTGATATGCGATCCAGTGACCCGACCGCTCTTCTTCCTCCACTCCCTCTCATCCCCCAATCCTCTCACGCTCGAATCCTTCCGCGCGCTCGTTTCTGAAGTGTACTTGAAGCGGAATGATCCCCGGATAGACGAACTTCTGGCAGAGAGGCGAGCGGGGAGACCGAAGCAGAAGGAACTGTTGGAGCTTGAAGAGTTTAGGAGAAGGGAGAGGGCAGAGTATGATTCTGGTATGGGTGCGTACAAATCTCAACCCACGATTCTAGAAAGGAAACTGATGGTTTTTGAAGAACTGCCGGATATGACCCACGGCCCGACAACGCATCTGATGCACCAGTGGATAATGGCAGACGCTTCCATCAACTCGTCGCATCTCGACCTCATGCGCCATGTTCGTCTGTCGCCAAAGGGAGAGCCGGTGATGACGAAGAAGGGAAGCACGGAGGAGATGGGGCTGGATAAGCTGGAGGGGGAGGTGGGAGCGGGGGATGATTGGACTACTTTGGCGGATGGAGAGAAGGGGGAAGGGGAGGCTATGGAGGAGGAGCTGTGATTTATGCGCGTTGATGGAGTTTTGATTGGGTTCTATGTATTGTACTTTTACGTCTGCTTGTACGGTTATTCCAGAGAGAGTCCCACAGAGACTGCTAGATCATATATACATCTGGTAACACCTGCCGAGACCATGAACCCAGCAACAACGACCGACACGACCGACTCACGCTCGCCCACTCACCCACTCTCCAGTCCAGCCCACGTCCATACACTTCTTCTCTCCAGAACCCCGGCTATGAATGACCGACCCCTGCTTAGTCGGTTTGGCCGTCCTTCTTGACTTCGTACATTCCGGGGATATCGGCAGGGACGTGTTCGCAAGTGCATCTCGCAGCGTCGGGTACGCCTGCAAGAGCCTACAACGAGTCAGTATTCAGGCCGAAAGCAAAAGTAGAATAGGGACGCACGATCTCGATGTGGGCACCTATCAGAAGTCAGTGAGATATCAAGAAAGAAGGATGGATGGGAAGGTTTACCGCAACCCCACCAAGTGGGCTTTCCGTCGTTAGGGCAGGTTACTTGTCTGCACATTTCAAAGTGTATTTGGGTGTGGAGGGTCAATAAAGTAAGAGGAGGTGACTGGTGGGACCACCTCCACCTTACACGAGGCGGCAACCCCCGCTTGCCCCCGCCATAAGAAAGCATTGGAGTTCCCCTCTTCCTCTGAACCTCTTCCCACAGCCTCTCGTCCATCTTCCTCCACTCGTCGCCAAAGTCGTCCGTCTTCAAACTGCGCTGGAGATGGCGTATGTTTTGCTGCAGGCATTGTTGGAGGAGGAGGTGGGCGTGCTGGTGGGGAAGATCGACGAGTTTATCGAGCTTGCTGAACTCTTTTCGCATTTTCTCCTGCAAAAAGTTAAAGTCGCGCGGTTCGAGAACCCACCATAGCCCCCAGCATCTTCATCCCTTCCCCTCTGATCTCCTCGAACGTCTTCACTGAGCACTTGCTTCTGTTGAGTTTAATGATGTGTTCCTTGTCGGAAAGAAAGCGCGTGGTCTTGGCGAGGACGTTGGGATCGGAGGTGAAAAGGTAGATGTCGTCGAGGTAAGCGATGGGGGTGGTGTTGGGGCCGAGAGACTGGGCGAGGTTCGGCCCGCTGTTCTTCTCCTTAGCTCTCCGTCCCACCCTCCACGCCCTCTCTCAATCCCTCGGCCCCAACACCACCCCCCTCGCGTATCTCGACGATATCTACCTTTTCACCTCCGATCCCAACGTCCTCGCCAAGACCACGCGCTTTCTTTCCGACAAGGAACACGATCATTAAACTCAACAGAAGCAAGTGCTCAGTGAAGACGTTCGAGGAGATCAGAGGGGAAGGGATGAAGATGCTTGGGACGATGGTGGGTTCTCGAGCCGCGCGGCTTACCTTTTTGCAGGAGAAAATGCGAAAAGAGTTCAGCAAGCTCGATAAACTCGTCGATCTTCCCCACCAGCACGCCCGCGAAAATGAATTTTGATGTAAACTTGACAGGGGCCGCGCCGTAGCCCACCTCCTTCTCCAACAATGCCTTCAACAAAACATCCGCCATCTCCAGCGCAGTTTGAAGACGGACGACGTCGGAGACGAGTGGCGGAAGATGGACGAGCGGTCGTGGCAAGAGGTTCAGAGGTTGCAGATGCGGCAGATAGGGAATGCGCCAGAGGAAGAGGAGAAGGGGAGGTTGTTGTCGAGCCTACCGGCTAGGTTTGGAGGACGCGGACTCTTATCATTCACAAACATTGCACCGCTGGCTTATAAATCAGAGCAAGAATCCGCCGACTCCTTCCTCGCCAAGATCGACCTCATCCACCTCATCGACCCTCCCCCCACCCCCACCCCCACCCCCAGCGCGTTAGGTGTGCGAATCTGTGGTCCGAGCAGATGTCTTCCTTCATGGACACGGCGACCCAGCCCGAACGCAAACACCTCGTCGAGAACGCGTCGAAACTTGGGCGATCCTGGCTTTGACAGAAGCCCTACTTTGAACCTCTCCGCCTCTCCAACCACGAGATCGCCGCCGGTCTCCACTACCGCCTCCTCACCCCCGCCTCCTCCCCCACCTGCTCTGCCTGCGCGAACGAGTCTGACCTCGGTCACGACCAAGTATGCCGCCTGCGCGAGACTTGGTCCATCCGCCGACACGACTCTATCAACAGAGTCTTCCAATCCTACCTCTCCCGTGTCGCCGGCGCCGTCGTCTTACTCGAACCATCAACCCAGTCTGGGCGAAGGAGGAATGACCTTAGGGTGCTAGGAGGGGGAGGGGAGGGGAGGAACGTCGACTATACGATCTGAAGGTCTATGGGCTAGAGGACAAGAGCGTGTACGTGGTGGATGGAGGGAAGCCGAGCGAGATGGAGTGGGTGGAGTGGGTGCAGGGACGGTGTGTGGGTGCAGGGACGGTGTGTGGGTGCAGGGACGGTGTGTTGCGTGGTTGAGCAAGAGGGACGAGGAAGTGGTGAAGAAGCAGCCGAGGATCTACGGGGGGGGGCGTTCCGCCCCCTTGTTCTTTCTGCGGGCGGCTTGATGAGTGAGGAGACGGCGGTAGAATGCCGAAGTTGAAGGAAGGGCATGGAGAAAGAAGTGTGGCACGGGTTGCAGATTAGGGTGGGGATAGAGCTAGTGAAGGCGCGAGCGAGGACGTTGTGGATGTGAGGAGCGAGGAGAAGGGAGTAGTAGCTAGAGGGGAGAAGGTTTTTTTATCGACTTGGCGAGTATGGCCGCCTTGTCTTTTTCCTTCATTTCGACATCGCCTTACATACAGCCCAAGTACATAGAACTGACGAGTTCCAAAATCTCTATGTAACTCTCTTCACCCCCGCTTCACGTACGCCTGGTATGCCCATCGACGATGTTGCAACCCCCGCCCAAACAGCTCATGTCCAACATATAAATACATACAACGTACATACACTCTTCTTCTTGTTCCCTTCTGTCCCCTGACCAGCTTGTTACAGCCTGCACAACCTTCATGGCTGGCGTTTATGGATCATCACCTCCCCCTCGACCTCTTGCTCTTCCGACGTGGAGGCGGAGGCGGCGGATCGCTCGGACAGGCGGCGGTCGTGGTCGGAGAGGATGGCTTCTTTCTTGTATTTCTTGCCGCAGGAGCAGCGTTCGGATTCGGGGATGCCGGCGATGATCTACGGGGGTTGAGTGAGAGCGATGAAGGGAGGGGGTGAATGGTGAGATGGGGAAGGATGGGGAAGGATGGGGAAGGACGTGGGAGGGGAGGTGCTATGAGAAGAGACGTACGTCTTCTAGATACCTGTCTGTTTGGCGTCAGCTCCGTGGAAGAAAGGGACGATCGGGAACGTACCACACGAAGAAAGCTCGAGCTTGACATCGCTGGGGCAAGAAGAGGTCGTCGAATCAAGGGAAGACATTGCGCAGAATCGTTCGATAGGTGTGGGCGTTGGAAGAGTGTGAGGTGATGAGATGGATGGAGATGGACGTATAGATGCATCGCGATTGTCAAGGAGCCAGTAAGGACGAATAGTCTCGGGCAAACACGCAGCCGGGTTTACAAATACAAATGTGGGGGACGGGGGTTTGTCCTATCAGATAAGACAAATCGTTTGTTTTCGGCCGCCCAATCGGGTTGGCGCCGAGAGTGACGTGGGGTCCCGGGGCGATGATCCGAGGGGGGTGGATGGGGCGGTGGGGTTGGAGGATGCTTTTGGGGAGGAGAGAGTGGGTTATTTCGGAAATATAAGGACGAAAAGAGGAGAAAGGTGGGCGGAAAGATCGGATGCGCGTTCTCCCGAAGAGAAAGCCACACCGTTGCCAATTGCCATCGATTCAGTACAAGTATATTACAGCGTACATATTGAAGCTTGCCTGTGACGCTATACAAAAGTAAAGCAAGAAAGAGAGGCAGCTATGTGGCACAATGTCCGCCATCAATCAACAAATCGGCGCCGGTCATGAATGAGCTCGCGTCGGAGAGGAGGTATATCACAGGACCTAACCACATGTCAGCGATGTCTCTAGACATGAAGTGAGAGAGGTAGTACCTCTGAATTCGTCGGGGGTGGAGAGACGACCGAGGAGGGATCCTTGTAACCATGTATCATTCAATTCGGGTTTCTCGTCAAGGAGTGCGGCGGTGAGAGCAGTCTTGATCTACCGCCAAGTCAGCTCACATCAATATTCTGTGGCATGGGAAATGCTTACATAGCCGGGAGATAAAGTCTATACATGTCCGAACATAAGCTGAGATCTCGATAGCGCAGAGAAATGGACGTACGTTGACTCGAACCCCCTTCTGACCCCACTCGTACGCCAGATTCTTCGCCATCTGCAACACCGCCGCTTTACTCGCGTTATACGGCACACAATCAAGCCCTTTGTTGGCTACGTGGGCGCTCATACTCGCCGTAAAGACTATGCTAGATCCCCCTCCCTCCCAGGGGGCAGAAGGGAAACGGGCGAATCGCTCCCTGGCGAAAGCTTGGGCGCAGAGGAAAGAACCGGTAAGGTTGATATCCACCACCTTCCTAAACTTCTCCACCGGATAGTCGACAGCGGGGAGCATGAGCTGTATGCCCGCTGCTACGAACAAACCCCTCACTGGCGCGTCGGCAGGCGCTTCGTCGAAGATCTGCTGGAAAGTTCGAGTGACAGAGGATTGGTCGGTTACGTCGAGAGAGATGTATTTGAGGGAAAGGGAGGAGGATGAGGCGGTCTGGAGCTCGTGGGACCATTGGGGCTCGGAGGGTGTGGCGAGGAGGTCGAGGCAGACGACGTTGGCGCCGGATTCGAGGAGAGATTGGGCGATGGTGAGGCCTAGACCGCGACCGCCGCCTGTGACGACGATAGTACGATTGCGAAGATTGAAGAGATCCCTGGTCGGGAGGGGGGAGGAAGGTGCCAATAATATGTCAGCTGATTGATTAGAGGGGAAGTGGAAACGTACCTTGCGCTGCGGTATCTTCAGGCAGGCCTGGAGGGGCCTTTTCAACGGCATGTTCTGATACTGCCTTGCCGGAGGAGACTGGACGGGGCTTGTCTTTTGCAAAGTGGGCAGCTTGAGGCTTGTCGCTCTTGTTGTCTTCCTTCTGGGCGAAGAGATAGGAGGTGGAGGAGAATGACTGCACGTGGAGGGCGGGGGGAAGGCGAAGGGGGCTGGGGAGGATGGCACGACGAGCAGCGAGGGAGAGGCGGATTGGGGCGAGCATGTTTGAGGCGATGGGATGGTGATGCAATGGGCAGTGGAGATGTATATACGTAGAGTCTCTCGTCGCGTGCACAAAGCCTTTTCGAGTATACCCCGTCATAAGACCGACCGAGTGCAGACCGACGCCTGTTCAATGTTTAAGCCGGTTGTCCGGCCCGGTCCCCGGCGCGTGCCTCTTTTGTTTGGTTTCCTTATCAGCAAAACAGCAGTAGATGGCGCTCTTTCCACTGGCGGATAAGGTGATGACGCCTCCCTGGCTCCCAGCACGTCTGCCTGGGACCACTACTCCTTCCACAAGGTCTCGCCCCACTCCTCCCAGTCCTGCCGAATGCGGGCCGCCATAGGAGCACCAAAGCTCTTGGCCTTCTTGGTGACGGCAAAGGGTCTGGACCCCATTGCCTTCGTCTGGCGGTGGAAGGCGTCCTTGACCTCTCGAGGGACCTCCTTCTCCTTCAGCGCCTGAAGCAACAACAGCCAGCCACGCGGGCTCCGACCCTGGGAGTCCCCCAGTTGGTCGAACCCTTTTCGGGCCAGCTGAACTACTTCTTCGTGCTCGTGGGTGACCTCGGGGCAGTCATCCGCCCAGGACACAAGTCCCTCGTAGACGATCAGAATTCAGATGGATACTGTGTTTTGTTGTTGTTATTTTGCTTCATCAAGTAAGAGATTCCTGCGCAGTATGATGTAGAGACGTAGACGAAGGTAAGGGGTTGGATAACTATTGAAGCGCACCGGTCCAGAGAATCTCTAAAGCCATGTCTTATGCCCTCGCATCTGGACACCGCGTACGCATTGTTCCCATTGACGTGTGCTTTATGTATAGGCGGTGTAAAGAGAAAATATGACTGATCTTCAACGTTGATGCTGGCTATTGGAGAGAAGGAGAGTTGTATCGCGAGCGCTCGGATCCACCTCGATAACTTCCCGGTGGGTCGTGTGTTTCCCAGGCATCCAAATGGCAGTTCCATCACCGTTATCGCATGTTATACACAGAGAGAACTCGGCTATCCCACCATTATCTACAAAAAAGTCACATAATCTGCTCGATATGCACATCGTGAAAGGCCCATCTACATTACGTATTCATGTCGCTCATCGCCGGCGAACCGAGGGTGCGGAACATCACTCTGCCCTAATCACATGTATGTAGCTCCTCCCGCCCGCGGTTCTCCGTTCTTTTGTGTCTCCTTCATACTCACCAGGCTTCTAATGTCTACACATCCAAACAGCAATATCAAGCTCTTCGACGACCTGGACCTGTCCGACTTACTAAATCGTGTTACGCTCGTGGGATTCGACAATACCCCGAAACCCCCCAGTGACGTCGACAGATTCCGATTCGCCCCAGATGCTATAGCCATGGGCAGTCTTCAAGGAAGGCTCTTTACTCAGGTGAGATCTCAGTAGACTTAGGGGCTTCTCTGACCGAGCTGTAGGTATTTGGCGGTGGATGCGCCAAGGGCTCGGACGGCCGACGAAACACCTCTTTTATCGCTTTCGACTTCAGGCGAGAACAGCTAGTGTTCAAGGTGACCACCATGTTGGACTCTCGAAGTGTCCCTCGAGTACTCCACCCTATCGACGCCGAGTTGTCTTTCAACGACATCGCCCAACGGGGTATACACATTACCAAGCGGGCTCACCCAAGCGCCATGGGAAATCCGAATTTGCTGGAGGTCACGGTCACGGTCGGTTGTCGGCGGCCTCCCAGGTTCTGTGTGCCTTTGGACCAGTCCAGGAGGAGGGCGACGGTAATGGATTTCATGATATCGGGCGCGGTGAGTCATTTTTGGTGATGTCTTGTCACATGGCTGATATCGGACAGCATGAACGGGAGGCTGGCTCTATATCTACGATTCCAGAGGGACATTGCGCTTATGTGAGTCTTTTGTTCGACTCGAGCAATGACTGAACTCGGGCATAGCCTACATTTTGCGATACATATCGCTGGATCTTTCGCATGGACAGACAACAGTATGCGAAGATTACAGCGTGCGTGCAAAAGATCCGAGCACTCGCCCTGGACGACCCCGAGATGGACCTCATGTCTCCTTCAGGTGAGAATGCGAGATGGTCGGTGCGTATCTTGGGTGATTACGAGTTCCAGGAGTTGTATACCCCGCCCGACTTGTCGAGACTCCCATTCTCTACGAGGACTTTGCTGGAGGGTTTGATCGGATATGGCGTGCTTCGACCAGTGGATACGCCCAACATGATTGAGACTTTGAGGAAGGCTTCGCCGGCGACGCCGTTTCAAAACAGGATTCTGGAGGCCTTGTTCAGTCAAGATAGGATCAGGGATGTTAAAGCGCTTATCCCTAGTGAGTGATAGCTTTGGCGAGAGGATGATATGCTGACGACGAATAGAGCTTGCTGCCTTTCTGCGTCGACGACCGCCTTCCAATCAAACCCATCTCGTCCTCATACGCACCGTGCTCGTTACTCCTATGCGTGTTCTCGTCGGACCGCCGCAATACGAATCATCCAACAGCGTGACTAGAAAGTACTCGGACAAGCTTGATGGTATCATTCGAGTACAATTCAGCGACGAGGATGATCGTTTATATGTGCGCTTGGTAAAGAAACGAACGTTGGAGTGAGCTGATATAGACCCAGGTTTATGGGTCCTTGAAAAACGCCGACAATGAGAATCCTGCTGTCGGACTTATGGCTCGGGTTCGTCGTGCGCTTCAGCATGGTCTTAACGTCGGGGGAGAAACATTCTATCCTGTCGCGTCGTCGTCTTCTCAGCAGAGGTTGGTTGCGACGTATTCTGCGTATTCGGTGCTGACTTGTTGGTCAGAGATCATTCTATGTGGTTCATCAACACTCGTATGATTGATGGTCTGAGCCTACGTAATTGGATGGGGACTGTACACGAGACCGTCGTCGCGAAGCACGCCGCGCGAATGGGTTTGGTGAGTCATTCGCCGTGCTCCTTGCGCTATTGCTGATACGCTTTAGCCCTTCTCTACAAGCCGTATTGTCAATATGAAGATCAACGTCGGCGGACAGCTCGCAGATGTCAAGAGAAACGGGAGGATCTTCACGGATGGCGTGGGACTTGCGGGCAGGAATGTGTTGCATGAATCTGCGCTGGCGCTGGGCGAGAAGAAGGGTATCGACTCTTATCCTTCCGTGATTCAATTTCGTCTTGGGTACGTCCACTATTCCAATCGTGATTATATGTGCTTACTGCTGGTAGCGGTGCCAAGGGCGTCTTAGCGGACTGGCCCAAGCTTGTCAGCAAAGATGATATACTCCTTCGCCCCTCTAATATCAAGTTCACCTCCGACCTCGCCGACCTCAACGTTATCCGCGTCGCAAAGTATCAAGTCGCTTTTTTGAACCGGCAGTTCATCAATATCATGTGCGCGAATGGTGTACCGCAAGAGCTCATTATCAGCATCTTCAAGGACGCTGTGGCAGATATCAACGGGTTCAGAGACCGAGTGAGGGATGGCAAGATGACAAAGGCGGATGAAAACCTTGGGCGAATGTGTGATAATGTGAGTCGCTCTTGTTACTTCCATGAGCGCGCTGACATCTTCCAAAGTTCCCCTTCATGCGACTCGTCCGCTCCGGCTTCAACACCAATCCTCTCATCCTCGACATCGCCGCCATCTTGGAGTGTAAGGCTCTGCAAGACCTCAAATGGCGTGCGCGTGTAAAACTACCGGGCGGAGTGTTCTTGATCGGTATCGCAGATGAGACGGGTACTCTCCGGGAGGGCGAGGTGTTTTGTCAGTATCAGGAGAATGACGGGACGCCGCCGAAGATTGTTACAGATGAGGTCTTGATTTGTCGAGCGCCTGCTTGTATGCCTTCTCTCTATTTCTGGGCATGCAGGACTAACGATGAGCAGTACACCCCGGCGATGTTCGACGTGTATCGGCGGTAGACGCACCGGAATTACGACACCTCAAGAATGTCATCGTCTTTAGCATTCAAGGCGAACGTGATCTCCCTGAGTTCTTATCGGCTCCGTCCATCGATCGACTCCTGATAATGTTTTGCAGGCTTGGCGGCGGCGACCTTGACGGCGACGACTATACTCTTATCTGGGATCAGCGTTTCGTCCGATCGCTCTCAATGTACGCCCCCATGGAGTATGAAGCGCCAGATCCAATCAGAGAGCGAGAGGTGACGCAGAGGCATCTGAATGAGAACTTTGTTCAATATATTCTTGTAAGTACTTCATACATCGCGTTGAATGGGGCTGATCCGAATCGGAAAGAACGACGTTCTTGGTCAGGTCGATAACTGCCATCTTGCGCTGTCGGACAGATACACCCCTTTCGATGGACGATGCCTAGAACTATCCGAAATCCACTCTGTAGGAAGAACGTTCTAGCCCGTTATTGTGCTGACGTCTTGCGATAGACTGCGTACGCCCCTCGCTCCCTCATATCTTGAGCTGATCTTCTGTAGTGTCGACTTCGCCAAAACTGGACAAGCTGCTACCCTCCACCTACACCTTCGTCCCGATGAATGGCCCGACTTTATGGACAAAGTACGTTCGAGAGAAGTCGTGGGATGTAGTGCTTATCAGATTGTCTCAAGGGCGGGAGCGTGGTCAGCTATACAAGCCACAATATACTCGGCAAGATTTTCCGATTGGTCAGCCCCTCTTCTACTTCCATATATGTTATACGCTGCTGAGGACATGTTTAGGTACAAGCCGATCCCCACTTCCGTCCCAGCGATCTCGAGCGCATGAGCTACCCGTCCGACCCTCGCATCACGAGATACCCCTTGAATGATGGTCTTCTAGAGCGACTCAAGGTCCTCAAAGCCTGCTATGAAAGAGATGTACAGTACGATATGAGGCGGTGAGCAGGCTTCTGGCTAAGGAGACTTCAGAACTAATCGTCGTACCAGATATCGAGTCTTTGAGCCTGAAATACCAGCTGGCATCGCGATTCGGAACAAGAAAAGGAGAAGAGTCCGTGATGAGAATGTCAATGTGAGTTTCCTGTCGTTTCTTCGGCCACGTCGCTGACCAGACGCGCAGGAACCTTTGCGAGAAGCCTTCTCCTTTGGGGTCGAGAACGTGCGCGACGCCGCTGCCAACATCCTCCGCGACTTTACATTCGAAAAAACGACTCTCACCCCTATGCAGACGATCGCTCGTCACTGCTATGCCTTGACTTTCGAGGAGAGGTTCGTGAGGCAGTGGGAACAACAGCATCGGCAGGGACATTGGGGGGTGGAAGTGTTGGATGATGACGACGAGGAGATGCTCAGGCCCAAGTAAGTCTTCAGAACGTACCATCGTTCAACTGCTGATCGGAAGTAGACCGTTGATGTCTTTCGCCTTTTGTTTCTGTCAAGAGCTCATACAGATTGTGAGCGAGTCGGACTCTGAAGTTTGAGGAGCTCCTCGTCTTCAGAGATAAACGTCTCTATATATTGCCATCCTGTACATGGTACATATTGACTCGATATCAATGAATAGTGTTGTACAGACTACCTAATGATCTCTCTGGAGCGATAGCATAGCAATACATACGGCCTTTCAACATCGCGCTCATCCCACTCCATATGCCTGGAAATTGCCCGGCGGCCGGCGGTGAATTTGGTTCCGTCTGCGAGACAAACACGTCGCGACTGTTTTGATCAATTGTTTTCAGCGCTCATTCTTCTCTATCATTCCTCCATTTCCTATATACACTATGGCGCCAGCACCCACACCCTCCAGCAGTACCGCCAAACCCCGACTACCCCCCAAATCGGCAGCGGGTACCACCCCCGCGACGGGGCGAGTGACGCGTCTCCGTGCCGCCAAAGAAGCTTCCACCACCCCGTCAACACCAGCGGTCCCGAGACAGCCAGGCCTTCTCGCCATGGGGAAGGAAGGTTTGAGAAAGGTATCGGGAAAGAATGGACAGAAGGAGAAGCCTGTGAGTGCTCACATGCGGTTTGGGGCGGTCAGTTCTGACCCCGGTATAGACACCTGCGCTTAGGACGAAACCTGACGGCGCTGCTTCCCAAGCACCCGCAGAGACTCTCAAGGTATCTCAAGCTATTCAAAATACACGTATTTATGCTGACTTATGCTAGGCTTTTCTGAGGATCCGCCCCCCTCCCGCCGCCGCTTCTGACGCTCGGCCATATCTCGAAATACAGTCCACTACCGATGTTCTCATGCGCGCTCCAATTGTCAGCCCGTTTATCTTTAAGTCCTCATCTATGCTTACAGTCCTCCAGGAGAACTCTCGACACCACGTCCCCAAACCCCCTCACCTCTTCTCTTTCGACCAAGTCTTCCCCCCCGACACGCCCCAATCCGACTTTTTCACGACTACCACTCTTCCTCTTGTCGACAAACTCTTGGCGGGCGAGAACGGACTCATGTTCACGTATGGTGTGAGCAACAGCGGCAAGTCGTATACTATCCAAGGGGGCAGTACGATGGAGGCGGAGCAGAGGGGTGTTCTGCCGCGGGCGATAGATGTAGTGTTTAACTCTATCGAGGGTCTTGAGAGCTCAGCAAAGGTCAGCCATTCGAGTCCTGTTTCGTGTGTATGGCTGACTCAGTCTTCTAGCTTCAAACGCAAGGCTTGGCCGATGTGGTGTTTCGAGACAATGACGAGTATCTCAACATCGTGGACCCTCTCGCCACTCAAGAGCCCAAGATACCCGACAGTGAGCTTTCTAATTTCTGTGGGGGCAACCGACTGACGTTGGGACGTAGCAATCAAAGTGGATCGTAACTTTTCATATGCCATCTTCGTCTCGTATTCGGAGGTGTACAATGAAAAGGTGAGCACGCGCGATGTACCGTATAACCATTTCTGATCATATTTAGATATTCGATCTCCTCGACTCTGTCCTCCCCACATCTCCAGCCACCCCCACCCAACCACGCCCGCGTGCGACATACGACAAGGCGCCTCGCGGGTCGCGTATGCAAAGCTTCTCCGCCGTCAACTCGTCTTTTCACATGGCAGCTATGGCCAACGGGGGTGGGGGCGTCTTGAAGAGACAAGCTTTGAGTCTGAAGAATGATCCGGAGGGGAGCGGCAAGTATATTGCGGGGCTTAAAGACGTGAGAGTCAGAACGCGCGAGGTATGTTGAGATGGACTCTGCAGATTGGGAAATGCTGATAAGATCTGTAGGAAGCGTTGGCGGTCTTCCGTTCCGGCCAGAATGCTCGACAAGTGTTTGGGACCCTCGCCAATCGCGAATCAAGCCGCAGTCACGGCATCTTCACCATCAAAGTCGTCCGCATCCACAACGGCGCCCCTCTTGATCCCGACTCTGCCCAAGTCTCTCGCCTGGCCATTGTTGATCTTGCCGGCTCGGAACGAAACAAGAACACGCATACGACAGGCGATAGACTGAAGGAAGCGGGCAACATCAACAAGAGCTTGATGGTGCTTGGGCAATGTCTGGAGGTGTTGCGGGCGAACCAGCAGAAGCTCGCTGGACCTGGGCCGGCGGCGAAGAAGAGGATTGCGGTGGTGCCGTTCAGGCATTCAAAGCTCACGGAAATCTTCCAAAACTTCTTTGTCGGCGATGGTCGTGCTGTACATCTTCTGTTCTCTCTCGCTCGTTCCATGTCGTGCTGATACCTTCGACAGGTCATTGTCATAAACGTCAACCCCTTCGACACCGGCTTCGACGAAAACTCTCACGTCATGCGCTTCTCCGCCTCCGCCCGCGAGGTCCAAACAACTGCCCACAACAAGGTCGGACTCCCTCTTCTACGACGCCAGATCAGTACCCAATTCAACGCGCTTCGACATGCTGTATCGGCACCGATGAAGATCAAGGTCACGGTGCCAGTCATTCCGAAGGACGAGGGCAGTAGAAGTGCGGGCGATGGCGGCAAGGGGAAGGCGGCGAAAGAGGGAGATGGGTGGGGGAAGATGACGGCAGACAGGGAGAGTCAGGGCTTTGTCATGGTGGAGGAAGAGCTGGAAGTGGAGGAGCAAGATCCCGAAAGCGAGGACGAGGATGAGAAGGATGCTCTGGTCGAATACTTGTTTGAGCAATTGCAGGAGATGAAGACGAGAGTGAGTCATTTCTTCTATGTTCAGCGTGGAGACTGACAGTTCTGTAGCTGTACGAGTCCGAGATGCGATCGGCTGCTATCGAGGTGGAAGTGAGAGAGGAAGTAGCGAGGGAGATGCAAGAGTCGATGCAGAGGATGCACGAAGGCTTTACCCAGCGATTCAACGAACATGTACGTCCTCCCCTTCCTTTCTTATCGATCCCGTATAATTGGCGCTGACACTGTTCATCTAGGCTCTCGCCAGCGAGCTCAAGGCGGACCGCAAGATAGACATTGTGATGCGCTCCATGACCCCCGCCGTCTCACGCACTTACCGAAACATCCCTGAACACTCTCCAGCCGATGTGACGATGGAAGAGGAGGATAGGAGCTTCGAGTCGGCCATTGACGAGTCTCTTGTAAATATTCCTTACTTTCCTCGCTGCGTCTTGATGCGTTTCTCGGACATGGTCGCTGACTCATAGCTGTAGATGGCATCCGGAGACGATTCCATGGTTACCTCAAATTCTGACCCTTTCCTCGCCAAAGCCCCAACTATCCCTATCCCTACCGTCACCATCTCGAGAGACTCGGTGCCGGCCCATGCACGAGAAGCTGGCGCCACGGATAAGGAGAGGAATGGTGACCTTGTGGGGAGCGAGGAACAGTATGACGAGGAGGAAGGGGAGGAGTCGGGGGATGAAGGAGACGATGTCGATGAGGATGAGGAGAGCGAGGAGGAGGAAGAAGATGAGGGACTAGAGGATGAGGAAGACGATTCGGACGGCTCGGCATTCACCATCTCGGCGAACGAAGCTTCCGACGCTGAAAGCGACCAAGAGCTTTCCCCCCCTCGACAAAGTTCGGCCTCTCCTCGAAAGAGCAAACAAACACCAGCGAAGAAACGAGCCCCTTCAACCTACCCCCTTGTCGCCAGAGAGTCTAGCAGTACCCCTCAAACTATCACTCCCGGACCGCTGGCAGAAAGAGTCAGTCAACTGGAGCTTTCGGACGACGACGACGACGAGGTTCCCGTGAAATCGACAAAGAAGAAGAGGTACGTCTTTCCCGTCCGCCTCTCTAGTCGTTTGAAGCTGATAGGTTCTGATAGGACTCTGGGAAAGAAGAAGGTGGTAACAGAGGATGAGATGGAGAGGCACGATCTGCGGATCTCGGGGGCGGAGGTGAAGCGGATGATGAAGGCGTCGAAGTAATGACCGTTCTTTTTGTACCGAATATGTCGACTTATCTCTTTCTACGTGATATGTTTAAAGTATATTCATCTTTTACAGCTTTGCAATTCACTCATGTGAAGCTTTAAGCACTGATAGAAGGTTGAACAAGCATCGCGGCGCGAGTTGGGCTACAAGTTGATATAATTATGGCCGACACGGCTACTTCAAGTTGAGCGACCTCTCTTCTCATAGTCAACAACTTATGCCAGTCGTTGTCTCCCGTCTGAACCATATGTGCGTACGCGACATGATGCATGATGGCTCAATGACCTGCTTTTGAGATGAAAACCGTACAAATGCCATAGAAGACAAGACACCCGCCTCACCAGTCGACCAGTCGTCGCCACACAGAACCCCCAGAAATCACTCAACGCCCAACCTCTATAAGCTACAACTCGATCGGACCTCTCTACCCTCTCCCTCTCCCTCTCCCGTGGCCGTGGCCGTTGCCCTATCACTAGACGCCTCTCACTAGAATCCCATCTGGTTGAAGCCTGAGGAGTACGCCATAGGCTTGACGTCGGGATGGGGGACGGCGTCGAATTGGTGATAAGAGAGCGCGCCGTTGGCTTGCATGCGGATGTAAGCAGCCTGACCAATATCAGCATATCAGCATCCCAAACAACAAACAGGCGGAGGAGGGGAGAGGAAAAAAATAGAACGTACCTTGTTACCCGTAGAATCACAATAATTAGGACAACTAAACACCGTAATACAGAGTCCATCGTGCTCGATAGCATACCCGTCTGCGCGTACTTCGTGCGACCGGATGACGGCGGTAACGTTGTTGAGCTCGCACCATCGTCGAGTGACGTCGGGGCCGAAACCGAGGCCGACACCGCGTTTTGAAGGTCCACGGCCGATTGGTTCTTGCGGGTCGGTCCAGAGCATCTAACCCCTCCTTGTCAGTAAAGCGGTAAAGAAACGAGAGGGGGGGTGCTCACTTCGCAGATAACGCCTTCTTGTCCCGGCTGTCTCCCAAATCGCTCAAGCTTTGAAACTTCCTCCAAGGTGACGCCGTCTTTGCTGACAGGAGGACCACCGTGGCAGATGAAGAACCGTCTCTTGCCTTGGTTGAGGATGGCGGGCTTTGGGCCTGAGCCTTCGGACTTGGGGCTGGTGGGGGGAAGGGAAGCGGAGAGGAGGACGGCGAGGGGTACTATGGGATGGTCAGCTTGAGGTGGTGAGAGAGGGAGGGGGGACGTACGCATCGTAAAGACATCGGCAAAGAGCTTGAACGTCATCTCACCAAGCTTGGCTTTACATTCTCCTTCAAAGCCGTACACCTTGTTCATATCTACACTTCCATCAGCCACCGTCTTCGACTCTAGCAGAATTGCGACGCACCATTCGTTTCGTGGTTGCCTCGGTTGATGAAGACGTAATTGGGGTACAGCCACTTGTAGGCGAAAGCGGTCAGGGCGACCTCGACGGACCATGATCCTCTGTCGACGAGATCGCCGTTGAAGACGAGGTAGTGGTTCTCGCTCGGGGGGGATGTCATGGAGAGGAGGTTGCAGACGTCAAAGAATTGGCCGTGGGCTACAAGATCGTCAGAGGCGAAAACGAGAGAGTGGCGAGTACACTGACTATCACCGATGATATCACAAGTCACGCCTTCCGGTATGTCGATCTCCACCAGACTCTTCTCCTTCTCCACCTGCTCCTTACACCCCAAGATGATCTCCCAAGCAACCCGCTTCGGAATCTTTCCGCCCTTCTTGAAGCTCGCGATCATTCCTTCGACGAATTCTTTTGTGGGGGTGTATCGGGCGAGGGGGTCGGAGGGGATAGTGGGGAGGGGCATGTCGGAAGCGGCGGAGGCGGGGTCGAGGGTACAAGCGCCTGATTCTATGAGGGCTAGACATCTTTGGGAGGCAGTCTCGGTATCGCCGACGGAGATGGCCTTTCATAATGAATGGGTCAGTACGATAGCAAAAAGTCTACGCAAAAGACGCTCACCTTCTCGAATTCGATCCTCCGTATCAGCTTGACGACGGTGTTGAGCTGTTCTCTAATGACCCTGTTGTTGGGCTCGATCGACAAGGCTTTCTTGAGATCGGGTACAGAGTCGGTGGGGCGGAGGATCGCGAGGTAGGAGAGACCACGGCGGTAGTAGGCCTTGGCGTATGATGGATTGATGGATACGGCCTTGGCTGATACAAAATCAGGATAGTCCCCGGGAGACTGAAGAAATGAAGACTCACTGGCATCAGAGATAGCAGCACCATGCTCCTCCATCTTTGCCTTGCTCATCGCTCGATTGTTCCAAAACGTCGAATCTTTCGGGTTCAGCGCGATCGCACGACTGTACAGATCGATAGACTTGTTGAACTCTTTGGCTACCATAGATGTCAGACTCTTTCCATGTAGAGTGGGCTCTGAGAGGGGAGGACGTACCAGCAAAAGCCTTGTTCGCTTGAGCTTTCAACTCCAAAGCCTTCGTCTTGTCCTCCTCCGTGATGACCTTGTCAGCGTCGACTTCGTCCTCGAGTTCGCCATCTTCGCCCACTATCCCATGGTCAGCACGCAAACAAAGACACGAGAGGGGCAATTGACGTACACGATAAGCCAGCGAGTCGGGTAGCGCTCAGGACGGGGGAGGGAAAGGGGGTGTAGTCGTCTTCGGGGGCGGTAGTCGGGGTGGTGGAGGGGGAAGCGACGGGGGATTCGACGCCGGTGATGATGCTGGAGAGCTCGCTGCGGAGTGCTTCGTGGCTTGAGTCCGAGTCTGACACTGACATTTTTGGTGGAGGTGAAGAGAGATGGACGATAATTATTATAGCTCGTTCCAGAAATTACTTCGATCACCGGCGCGGGATCAAATGCAGTCCGAGATGATGTATCGTTCTCTTTCCGACTGTCCATCGCATCACCATGGAAGCACCGCCAGAAGTCGAAGCCACCCTCTCCCGCCTCTCGCAATATCGCAACGTCCGCGGCGTCATGGTCCTCGCCCGCGCCCACATCGTCGGCGACACCCCCCACCCCCACCCCCACCCCTCGCGGTCAGGCGATGCTGGTATAGTCCAGACGACGGGTACGGTGTTTGAAGGGGAAGGAGGAGCAAAGTATGCTGGAGCTGTGGAGAGGATCGTGCTCAGTACGGGGGCTGCTATTGCCGAGTGCGAGGAAGGCGTGAGTTCTGTTCTTGTCCCCCCCCTCTTGATGATGTGCTGACGCCTCTTATGTAGGACGAACTCAGACTGATGAGGATCAGAACGAAGAGACACGAGCTCATCATCACTCCCGGTGAGTACTGGGCCTCATGGTCCATGGACCATCGGGACAGGACACTGACGCTTGCGCAGATGATAAGTATGTCCTTGTGGTTCTGCAAGACCCGGGGCAATGAGCGCACATCTCCTCACCCCTACTTCGCTCTTTTCATGATACGACCTTCCACGACCTTGACGATCCACATGCATGCCATCCCTGATAGCATAGCCACATACGCATCCCACATGCTACGCTAGTCAACGCAAAACAGCCTCCTCCCCTTCTTTCTTGTACAGACTTTGCCTCCATCGTCGACAGTGTCCGACACCTCTTCAGCCCACCATTCACGACGCCTATCATTGCACAAGTCCCTCCCAGACAATCTCTACGTTCTGATAGTGATGGTATAGCAATGCATGGCGAAATACAACTTTGAGAACAAGGTGCGAGACGGCAATGATGTGTAGAAGGAGGGGAAGAAGACGATGGGGAGGGTTAGGCGTGGGCTCAAGGAGAAGATCGGATACTCGTAGCACCACCGCTCTATAGAGATAGTCAGCCATCATGCCCTGTTGCTCGCACATATACGACGATCTCCAATACTCCAGTCCGCCTCGGGGAGCGGAGCCTACCATCCCCCTATGACCTCGTCGCCCACCAAGCCCCCAAGCCCGGGCAATGTGCAAGCAAGGAGCGAATAAAATTCACCATGACAGCATCCATCTCCAGCTCTCCCACTTCTTTCGTCCTCCACAAATACCCCGGCGCTTCCCAGAAATTCTCAAAGTCCACCGGCTTGCCCGAAGGCTTGAAGCGCGTATCTTGTTTTGACGCAGGGGCGGATGATGAGGCGTTGAGTCGGGAGAGGAAGGAGGGGAAGGATTCGCGGATTTCGGAGGGGGCGCAGGGGTGGGGGGATGGGTTGTGGGGAGCTTGCCGGGGTGTCAGCTCGTCGGAGGACGGAGGAGAGGAGAAGGGAGGGGAAGTACGGTGTTGCAAGTTCTTCCTTGAGCCTAGGAATTTGATCATGGGCTTGTAGTGGGAGGCACGGAAGACTTGGGAAGGGCGCATGGTCGTAAGAGGGGGATGTGTAAGAGTAAATACGAGGAACGATGTCGAAGTGAAGGATGCTGTTGCGCCGTACTTTTGATCCCGGTCGGACAAGTCCGAGGGAATGCCGATGGTCCACTCTCGTCCCCCTCCCAAGAACAGATGCACAAGCCGGCATGGTCACCTAGGGGGGCACTGGACAGAGGCTGTCTGCATCACTCCATCCTCGTCATGAGCACTTGTCAAAATAAGAGAGATACATGGCTTACCGTCCGCCAAGCAGTATACGGCGATGAGGGCGGAGATGCCCGCCTGATGCAGTTCCGCGTGTTCAGCGCGTGTTGCAACTTGTCTTTTCTTGCCGTCGTTCTACATCTTGGCCGCCGTATCCATCTATACTCTCACCCCAACCTCGCCCCTCGCCCCTCGCCTCTGGCCCCTCTCCGGCTCGCCCTCTCTGCCCCCCCTCCCCGGCTCTCCCTCCCTCTCTCTCCTCCTCCCGCCTCTCCTCCTTGTTTCCGCCTCTCCGCCTGCCCTTCCTGGCCTGCCCTTCCTGGCCCCCCCTCCCGCCTCTCCTCCTTGCTTCTGCCTATTGGAGGAGGCTATGGGCGTTCTCATAGGTTTCAACAACTAGTGCTTGAGGTGAGTAATCTTACTTTGTCTTTTTTGTGGACAGTGGTTGACTAGTGCAATAGCCTGAAACCACCTTTCAACAAGAGCTCTGATGACGACTCAGACTACAGTTATGAGTCCGCCCAAAGTGTGGAGCGACGTACAAGCCCAAGGCTTACCACTCCGCCAACCACTGGTAGTCACCAGGCACCCTCGTTTCCGCCTCTAGCGAATTTCCGCTTAGGGTCTGTTCGGCTGGGATTTCTGGATGGGATGGGAGGCTCCATCCAGGGCAAAACGGGCCTACCCTGAGAGGCACTCTCGTCTTGAGAATTCCCTCCAATCCGAGCTTTTAGCTCTTTACCCCACCGACGCCGAGTTTGGCCAACTCACTGCGTCTAGGGTGAAGAGAGTTACATAGATCTTGTAAGGCTC